AAATTTGTAAATCAATTGTAAATTGTACAAAGAATTGTACAAATCAGTAAGAAATCCATAGTCTTAAATGGGGAAGACATAACAGATTTGTTGTGTGCATATTTTATAACAACTGGACAGTGTGGTAGTTGAAAGGATCTTCTAAGCAGGTTATCTAGCTGGTGTGCTGTCTTCAGTGAGGCATTTCTCATCCTTATTACTTTGGTTTTCATTTTGGTAAAGTTTGTTATCAGCCTTGCGTGCAAAGTTACTATAAATTTAAACAGCATGAAAAACAAAAGTTCTGATGTGGAATTGCATTCACAAGTCAGTTATAAACAAACCCATATCTTAGGCTTTTGGTGAAGCTTTTTAGAAATTACCAGGTGTTGTTTCTGTCATACCAAATTCTGGGGGTAGGGCCAGAATTTCTAGGAAGTAAAGTGGCTGTGTGTGGTACTCACTGCATCTTGTTATCCACTTTTTATCAATCTTTATAGCATTGTATCAAAATACCTATAATAAGTAATTGCCATGCTATTACTTCAAAGACTTATTCTTCATGTGATCAAATGTGGAAGGGCTTTACAAAAGCAAGAGAGAAGCAGTTTGACTCTTGCACTCTTTGATTTCTGTCTCTGTAGGAAGTACACTGTGCAGTGTTGGGGTTTTGAGAAATAGCTCTTTATTTCTGTGGCTCCTTAGGGAAGGAAGCAATGTTAAGAATCAGCTGTCTCTGTGTTTAGAAAGAAATTGCACAGTCTATTTATAGCACAAGGGAATAATGAAGCACATGTGGAAATATATGGGAAGATGATGGAGACGGTAGATAAACACTTCTTTTTGGCTGAACCATATAAATTGCAGTGAAAGTGTCTCAAAAAGGTGACCTAGGTCTGTGGCACTCTTATGCTGAGTTTTGGTGAGTCTTGGATATCAAGCAAATTCCAGGCTAAAAGAATATGAATCCTAATCTACAGCACTTTTAAGCAGGCAAGAGAGAGGTGGGCAGAAATCTCAGCCTCCTTTTCAGTATGCAGTGGAAAAATTCACCATAGATTTGTTTGATTGGAAATTGAGAGAGGAATATGACAATTTTGGTTTTCTGGAAAACAAGCCATTGGACAATATCATTCTTTGAAACTGAAATTTTTTTTGGCTTTGCCATCCAAAATTACATGTTTCTACTTATGCATTTGACTTCTAGTATTTGGTGTTTTAATTGTAAAAGTGAACAATATGTGTGCAGTTTATCAGTGGATGTTAAGGGGATTAAGTTATAGATGACACAAAACAACGGTTAATTAATTATTTAATGGTTAAGCCTTAGCATCACGTGGCATTCCTAAGGAATTTCATTAATAACACGATAAATCCTGTATGTTCAAACAAGATTAATTTTGCAGGTTAATTTTGCATGGATAGATATGCAGGGGTAAGAAAGAGCTGTGGCTTGGGCTGTGTACTCCCAGAGCAGGGTGTGATAGTGAAATGGGTGAGATACTGTAAAATTCTTATCTGATGCTGTGTCAAAAAGGCTGTTACAATGGCCTGAAATGGTTTTGAAAAATGAGGGTAGTGAAATCATATTTCATGTCTGTGTACAGCTTTGTTGATACTAATAAATTTTTTAATGCTGCACATGCTTCTAATGTCTATGTTTGAAGAAACATGCTGAAAAAATAATGGGCAGAGAAAAAGAGATTTAAAGAACTGAAGTAAAACAACTGTTAAAATAAGAATTAAAGTTGACATGATAAGTGGCTTTAAAACTCAATGAAGAGAAAGTATGAACTGCTAAAGCACTCTTTAATTTGGTGAAGAAAAGTAGAAAATAGCATAGAGCTGGAAGTCAGACGTTCACCTTGGAAATAAGGGAAACATCTTGACAGAGTGATTAACCAGTGGAACAAACTACCAGAGAAGGTGATGATTTTCCATGTCTTGAAGGCTTTCAAATGAAGAATAGATCCTTTTCTGTAAGTTAGGCTTTAGCCAAGTGCTAGTTTGCCATGAGGGAGTTGAGGAACTCTAAGGTTGTACAACTCTTTGTGCCTTTGGCATGAAGCTCATATGTGGTGTAGGGACTGTTAACATTGAAAGGTCTCCAAGGCCAAACTCATGAGGCATATGTCCAGAGTGGTGTGTGCCTAGGGATGAAAAGGCTTGAAGGGCTCCAAGTGTTGGTAAGTGTATTTCCCTTCTTGAGCTCAATACAGGCTAACTGTGGAGAATTGAATAACCTGGGACACTAGAACTCAGACTAGATGATCCTAAACGTTACTGTGAATTTATTAATTTCCATTTCCTTGTGTTACTACATGCCAAAGACTGAAGTGGAAATGATTGCTGCTGCTGGCTGCTTCCATTTGCGTAGCTGCGGTCATAGAGGACAGAAGTGCTATACAACCAGCAGCTGCCCTGCTTGGTAGTTTTTTCCACTTTTTAAAATTGCAAGTGCCTGCTGATGGTCCTTCACCCAAATGCCAGATAATGTCACTGTCTGACACTGACAGATTACTGACAGTATCAGTGTTTCCATCTCATTTTGTTGGTTGCATTTAAAGTCTTTAAAGACTCTGAAGTCTTTTAAAGACTTGAAATTACTTTAAACCTCAGAGTCTTGTGCCCTGTTGACTAGTTTTCCTGACTGGTAAGGATTTGCTAGTAATTCTGTGGGACTGCCAAGGAGACAATCAAGTATGTATTAATGGTACAAGTGAAAGACTGTATTATAGAGGGCAAATAAATAGGAAAGCATGGAAAAAAGGGTTTTCAAGCATGTGTGCAAGATGCCTCTTTGGAATTATAAAAGTATTTACTGGAATCTCTTACCCATTACGCTGTTTAAGCAAAGGGTAATTGTGCTTTTGATTGCTGATAATATGTCTTAATATTGTTACCTGTGTTGATGGGGACAGCTTGGGCTGCCTTGCAGGAAAAGTTCTTCCCTAGAACACAAAAAAAAAACCCCAACAAAACCCCTAAAAGCATCACAAATGTTTACACTTGCTAGAATATTTCTTCTCTTAATATAGAATAACCACTTTCAGTTTTTAACTTTTTGAAAAGTCACTTCATACAGAATGAAGCAAAAATAAATACATCTGTTCTCCATTTGGTTTTAGTTTAACTTTTATTTTGTAGCAGAAATCCTTCATCAGCGTTAATCTCTTAACAGCAATAAACAATGAAACATGAAGACAGACTGCCAGACAACTCAAGAGTGGTGGGGGTGTATAAAATACCCTTTCCTCAACATCTTACAGTTTCTTCTGTTGTTTCTTACTTCAGTAGAACTGGATACCTCACTTCTAAAACATGTCATGTTCTTATTTAGAACAGCAAGGCTGTTGTGTTATAAGTTCTTTCTTTGTTACAAATAACATGGAAATCTGTCTTTTGTGCTTCTGTAAATCTGAAATAACCCTCAGGTTCCACTCTCACAGTGGTTCTGAGGAAGCTTCTGCAAACCAAGAAGCTTTTGCATCTCTCTCATGTAATCTCCACACACCCTCATCTGCTGACATTTCCCTCATGGTGGGGAGAAAGGTGATTGCAGAAGAGGGTTACTGGTGAGTCGCTGATATTTATGATGCTCTTAAGAGACAGAACACTTTTCAGTGTTTATCTGAACAGTCCAGCGATTTTCTAAGCACACTGTGTACTTTGTGCATTAAATGCCACTAAGCTTCCTAAAGAGAACAGGCCTCAGAGAGGATGTTCAAATGTCAAAATAGATGGTATCAAAATAAATGTTATTGACAGGATTTGATAAACTGTTTCATAGCTTCTGAAAACATCTGTCTTTCTGTTTGCTTGGCTATTATTTTTTTGAGAAAGAGTATTACTCTATGGTAAAAAAGAGCAAAAAATAATTCCAGATGTCAAATGAAATATTGGAAGATTATTATCTGAAGTGATCATAATGAATGCCCAGAAGATTGTTATGTTTAAGAAGTACTTTGATTACAATTTTAGCCCTTACCACAGCTAAAATAGTGCTTAAGATGTAGGTATCCATTTTGAGCTCTGTCTTCAGATTTTCATTTGAAAAGCAGTAACTATAATGTTATATGATTAAATTCAACTAGTTGTTGATTAAATTACTAGTTGTTTGCTCCTCAATGTTAGCATCTAACTATAATATGAAATTGTTCTTATTATGGTTCATGTATTTGAGGACTGAAAAATTCCTTGGGAAGCAGATAGCAGTTTATCAGTGAATTATAGGAACATCTTTCATGTATTTCATAGCTTTCATTCTCATCTAATACAAAATTATTTTTTAATAGGATCTATATTTTATGCTTAAGTTAATGATTTCTTCTTCACCAAGAACATTCTCTGAACCAATTTTGTTGGTGTTTGGAAATGGTATTTAGCAAAATTCATTTTGACTGTGAAAAATTTCTTTCTGTAGACTATTAAAAGTTGACAACCCTGAGAAGTGGTTCCATGATCAGAATAGTAAATCTGAATTTTTAGCTGTAGTTGTTTCTTGTAATGTTTTAAAAAAGATACTGTGTTAGGCTTGGTAGTCACTGTGAAATCCTTTCAGAAATCTGGTTCATTGTTCCTTGTATTAAATCTTAGATTTTTGAACTTATATTTATCTATGTGTTACCTATTTCTTACTCTTCACCAGCCTCTGAAATCTTCATCTGTATTCATAAAGTTACTTTAATTGTAGCACAACTAAAGGAATATAAGCTAGTTTCTATGCATTAAGAAGAAAAGACTATTTTTTATAGTAGGGAGAGGGACTAGAAAATAGATTTTCAGAAGCAGCACCTGCTGGGTTTTCATACATTCTCATATGTTGGTGTTGACTGTCTTTAGATGATAGCTATGATACTATTCTGTAAGTCTCAATAGCCAAAAATAATTTGGTAAAACACTCATATAGCATTTAGTCTGCTGCTTGTGTCTTTCCACAGAACTGCAGAACCGTGAATTCATACAATAGTCCAGCTTTATAACTAAACATTTTAATTGTAGTTGTTTTCCTTTCTTTCTAGAATATTTTCTTTCTTGGACATAGTTACTTTGTGTCGCTGTGCACAAGTTTCCAAGGTATGTATTTCTTTTGGGGTTTTTTGGTTGTTGCTTATGTTATTCTCTTAATTACATGCAAATAATAGAATTCATTGCAATTTGCTTACTGTTTACAAAAAAATTAATTCTCAGTCTCTTAGTTTATTAAAGCAAATGAAAAATTTTCAGCAAAAGGTCCCAGTTTTGCATGTAGATGTGGACTTAGTTGCTGTGTACAGGAGTTCTGTCTAAAGGCTGTAGAAAAGATACCCAGTCGTGTATGCTCTGTATCTGGAGAAGGGATTATGCCCAGTCTGGCATGATGCCATTTGCTTTTTATAAAGCATGTGGCTGTATAACACTATTTTTCAATTGTAATTGCTGCTTAAAATTCCATGTAGTTTGGTTAATGTGCGCCATGTGTCTAAGAAGTACATCCATCATTTTCTTGCCAAGTACAAAAGGTGTTAAGTAGATGAGCTACTAGTGGAGGAAAAAGGCACACACAAGGTATTAGTGAAGGCATGCTAAGTAAGTTTTTATGTTTAACTTGTCTTCATTTTTTTTCTTGAAATAAAATGAGTAATACTCCATTTCTACATCAACTGTGTACAATGAACTATATTATTATATAACATGGATGAACTTTATTTCATATTTTTCTTCTTTCTCTTACAGTTGGGCTTGGTTTGGAGTTTAACTGGTTGTTTGTTTTAATGTATAATTGTGTAATTATTTCATTCTTTACCCATTTCACCCTGTCCTGCAACTTCAGTAAGTCTTGTGAGTCAAGTAACATCAGGTTTCATCTGAAACCTACAAAACTGCATAAGAAAACCAAAATAAATTGTATCTTTCTCTGAAAACTTCCTATCAGTTGGATGCAGTATTCTCTTTTTTTCTCATTTTCTGCATATATCTATGTTTCTCTGGCTTTTTAATTTTGCTTTACTTTGATCAACTATTGCTTCGACAGTGAAGAACAAGCACTCAAACATGTACATGTAACTTAGCACGTGTAAAGGAAAGGCCTGGTCCTAATAGTGGAAAGTCAGCAGTTTTCTGAAAGGTTTCTGTTTTCTCAGAATAGTAACTAGTGAGGTTGAGGAACTGTGGTTTTATTGAAAGGAATCTCATCTGCAGCTACTTTTTTTCCATTTAGATCTAGCAAAAGTAACTCATTAGAAAACTTTACAAAAGCTTTTAAGAATGGAGGGTTAATTCTTTCCATGTACGTGCTTCACATTTAATATCTTGCTTTCCTGTATGTTTTGTAGCCACAAGTTAACATTTGAAGTGTAATCCGTTTAGGAGATTTGAGATTAATTTCTGTAAATTCTATGTTTTTAGCTACTTTGTACTGTATGAGTACTAATATCTACAATTTTTTTTATTTTAAATGCTGCCTGAAATTGTCAAGTTTGTAATATTTGCGTTACTGAGAGGAAAATGAAGGGAGCGGGTGCTGGAGGTAATAAATAAACTATTTATGTATTTCTTTTCTGTAGTCATGGAATGTTTTAGCTCTGGATGGAAGCAATTGGCAAAGAATAGACCTCTTTAACTTCCAAACGGATATAGAGGTTAGTGTCTTTTTCATTTTTAGGGTATTTTTCATTCCTATTGAGATGTTTAAGAGCATAGCCCATTTTTAGTGCCCCACATACTGTCCTTGGTTTCACATCTTTTAAAGACGAAGTTCAAGATAATAGTACTGTGAAGGAGCAAATGAAAAAGAACTCTGTTTGCCTTTTTTTTTTTTTTTTTTTTTTTTTTTTTTTTTTCTGTTTGCATGTTTCAGTTTTGGTTGCCAGCTGTGTATCAGATGATTCTCATATATCGTACACATATTGGGCTCTAGGAATCCAAGCCTGCTCATTTCCAGAAAGGAAAGGTGTAAATGGTGCCTCTGGATGGAGTGAGATTCTTGGAATCACTTTTATGATCTAGAGGATAGTTTTGCTGTTCCCAAATCCCTCTATGAGGGGGCCACCTAGTGCTGGAAGCTCACTGGACACCTGGCTATAGGATTTGGAGATTGAAGCACTAAAATGCTAGACAACTTTTCTTACTGCAGACTTCCCTAGATTTGATTTGGCATTGATACATTGGTGTACTCAATTACCATTCTATGACCATTTGTTTTATAAGGTTTCAACCTTGTGTGAAATGCAGATACATGTGAAGTAAAGTTGTTTCCAGTGTATAATGAAACGTTTTAGGGCAGACTTCTGTAAGAAAGACATGTCTGCATTAATGCTGTCATAGTTATGCATAACAAAATAAAAGATAACATCTGAAAATGAAGAAAAAAAATAGTGGGTAAAAAAAATTCCTTGATTCAGTCTGAACTGGTTTATTATTTCTTGTTAGATACAAATTAAATATAGACAACAATAATAGATTTGCTTCTGTGTTTTATGTTTTAGCTTCTTAGCTGCATAAATAAAATCCAGATGTGTTTCATTTGCTATATTTTTCTAACCATGGTACAAACTGTTCCTAAAGCTTTACAGTAACATAGAGGGTAAATTTTTTTCACCGCTCTTTTAGAACATTATTGCAAACTCTAGTGCTCTACTCATCTTAAACAAGAGGATCTTGCAGAGATAGGAGAAAGATTTTTGGCATCTGCCTCGATCTAAATGTGTCAAAGAAGACTTGGAGCTTTGAAGTCAGGTTTTCTTTCAGTTGCCTTTAAAAATCTTGTGTTCCTCATTTGTCAAGAGATAAAGTAAAACACAACAGGTCTGCAGTTCTTCCTGTTGATAGGCCTTTTCTGTGCTTGCAATCATTTTCGTATTTAGAAACACAGTATTGTATCTTCAAGTTTTCAATATTTTTGTCATTTTACCTAACAGTGTTGCCCTCTGAGATGCTGAGATATCTGTGGCATGGGATTCAGGAGGAGTGAAACGAAGTTGTGATCTTCTTTTTCTAGAAAAAGCTATTGTGGTTTGGAGCAATTCAGTTACTTCAGTATATTATCTTTAAGTACATTTGTAGTATATACCCTTTAAATTTACTCCTAAAAGTGTGTTCGGCAAGAAGTTATTACACTAATCAGTTCTTCAACAAAATAATTTCACATTAGGTGTCTAAGAACTCTGTTTAGCTTCTTAGTAATGTATTTTTTTGTCTGTGAATTTAATATAGGTAAAAACTCCCAACTGTATTTGACAACTTTTTGCTCAGTTGGACGAGCTGTTTCATGATTTTTCAGTTAGTACTTGACCTGAGAATATCAAATTAAGAAAAATAAGTTTTTGGGAAATTTTCTGTATTTAAGACTTCACATGGTAGAGAATAAAGTGTGTGTGTGGGAATCCTATAAAAAGTGCTTCTTTTATGTCAAAAAGGTGTGATCTTGAATTTAAATTTAACTTCAGATTTCTTGGTATGTGGAACCAATTGTGAGCTGAGGTAGGTTGAAAAACTAGTTTATTTGGCTTTTTTCTGCAATGTAAATTGAACTTGTGTTATATGTTATTCATTCAAGAATTTATCCTTACAGTAAAGGTATTTGGCATTTGCTGAGAAATAGTATTAATTAATTGAAAATATTTTTAAAATATATGATTTTCAGTTTTTTTTTGTTTCAGTGTAAATTCTTTGTAGTAAAAGACAAGCAATGTTACTTAGAGACCAAGAAACAAGCACTGATAAGAAAATATTTTCCCATAGTGAAGGCCAGAATGTTAATATTAGAGAAGGACAATAAAATATAACAACATAACAACAAAAAAATCCCCTAACCTGTAATTCTATACATATTTCTTCTTTCAAAAAATAAAGGGGGAGGAAAAAAAATGCACAGTGCTGTTAGGTATTAGTCCTATTGTTGGCTGCTCCCACCAAGGTGCTTGGCACCTTTCAATTGCAAGTGTCCCTGTGTCAGGAGCTGTAAAACAAGGACTTACTGAAGGCTGTCATGATGTACTGGCCTAAGCAGGTCTCTGTGGGCAATTTCAACTTAAGTGCTGTAGGAGTGACTGAGAATAAAGAATAAAGAGGCCAAGCCTTCCATTCCACCTCTGGGCAGTTCCTGGCACATCTTAGAAAACTTGAAGCTCATTTTAGTAGTCTTAGTGGGTAAAGTCTTCTGTGACAAAAAGTTGAGCTGTGTGTGATTGAAGGAAGAAGAGAGAATTAAAGATTGAATTGAATAGCACCTGAGTGTGAGTGGAGATTCTCAACAGGTAACTGTTCTTTCTTAAAGCAGCAAAAGAAATTCAAAGAGTTGTAGTTCCAGTGGCGTATAGCTGAGGCTAGTCTTAACTCCTGGGATTTTTAATTTGGTTAGGATATTATGTCAGAATAAAACTCAGCTAAATCTTCCTTTTATTTGGTTTAAGGGTCGTGTTGTGGAAAATATATCAAAAAGGTGTGGTGGGTTCCTGAGACAGCTTAGTCTGAGAGGATGTCTTGGTGTTGGAGACTCCTCTTTAAAGTAAGTAAAATTCTCTATTAAGACATCACTTGTTTCCTAATGTGCCTAAATGAAATTAGATTACTGTTATGTCTGTTTGTATTTCTGAGTCCTGACTGATGACCAAAATGGGATAGGATACTTAGATAAGTACTAAATGCCTTAATGTTGATTAAATGAGTGATCAATTTGAGATCAAAATATAGCTTCTGTTATTTTCCAGAAATTAACTAAGAAATTAAAGCTGTGCTTTTCTGAAACATCTTTTTCTTCCATTGATTGATATTTTCAAGTGGTTAAAATGTTTTCAGACAATACTCTGTCATCCTACAACAGTCAGATTATCAAGATTAGTGGTCATTTTATTGTTTATCATCTAGTCTGGACAAGAGATGACCCTAGCAATTGGAGAAAGGATAAAGACTAATACAATTAAGTGCCTACAAAATCAGAAAACATCTGGGATTCTCTTCCTGGTCTAAATAAGAACAGGCAGGCAACAAGACACATCTTGGGAGGCTCCAAGTGGACAGTGACCCTTCTTTCACGCAATGCATGAGCTGAACCGTGCAGTTTGTTCTCAGAAGAATGTTTGAATCCATAGAAGCTTTTTCCAATGCAAATTGTTTAGCCAGGTTCCTCTGGATATTTCTGTGAGTATTTGCATCCAAAGATCCTACCTCCAGCTGATGGTCCCTAAACCACAAGTGCTTTAGGGCTCAAAGAACATTTGGAGGAAGGCTTTGGGGTCTGGCCTTTTGCACTTACAGTTTCCTCCTCTCTCCCTGGAGTCTGGGCTGGATGGTGTTCAGTCTGATGTAGTGTGACCATTCTTAAGTGGAAAATATAAGCACAATGATTTTGTTAAGCAGTGGACATTAAACTAGTGTCCTCTGACCTTTAGCTATTTCTAAAATTTACAAGTAAGTCAATTCATTGACTTTTGTCTCTAGAGTAAATTCTAGAGTAAATGCAGCATTAATTTTCAGGTACTTGTTCTGAAAGTGATTTTTGCTCTAAGGCTATTTGTGTTTAGTTGTTTCCAGATAGACTAGTTTTGTGGGTGATACTAATTTTTCTATTTATCCTTCTTCTACATCAACTTTTGAGTAAAATAACCAATTACTGATGTAGGTGTTGGTTGTGTAAGCACCGAGTGCTTGTGGCAGGTCTGTCAGGACATGCCCCATGCTTGAATCTCAGAGGCAGTTTGCTGTTCCTCCAAAGTGTAACATCTTTCCAAGTGATTTGAAGGGTGTCTTGACTGTAAATCTTCCTCCAGTATATGAATTTTGGAATAGCTGTTTTGAGAATTCAAGTGGAAACTCTCACCAGTATAACTGCTTGCTGGGATTTTTTTTCCATTGTTTTCAATTCACACTGGAGAGCCAGAAGTTGTTACCAGCTGAACATGTAGTCGGATCTGTTAACCAGGGCAAGACTCCAGACAAATTGTTTTTGTGTGTTTCCTTCCCTGCTGCCAATAAAGTCCATTTGAAGGAAACATGGGTATAAAAACAGTGTTCTGAAATGCAGTGCAGCTGTAAATATTACTTTGCACAGATGAAAAGAAAGTTTATGTATTTCTTCAGGGTAATTAGTACAATGATACATACAGGCTCTCAGCAGTATAGGAGCTCCAATCTTCCTTAAAGTTCATACCCAGTAGAGCACACTGATACTTTTTAATTTTTAAAATAAGGAAGAAGCAATTTGCAGTCTACAGAGCTATTCCACTGATGGTTCAGTAGGCTTAGGTTACACTTTGGTATTGCACCAGGTGTGTCCCTTTCCATTTGCTGTGGGAACAAGCGCCTTATTAAGGCTTGCAAAGGCTTCAGTAATGAGATGTGCAAAAACTCTCCCCAGAAGCCTAATGTTTAACTGATGTAACACCTGAAGCTTTCTGTTTATGCCCTTTGAGTTTTTTGTTACAGTATTTGAAGCAAGATATATGCTTATATATGACAGAAATAACCACCTTGTCCAAGTGGTGTTTGAGAGAGAAAGAACACTTTCCTAAGATCAGAAACTGGTCTTAGCTAGGAAAAGGAAGAAGCAACCACTGAGACAGATGTATTTGAGCCATACTTTGCAGTTACTCTGGGGCTTGAAAATCAGGCTTTTTGACCAAGGTGGGAGGAGGTACGGGACAGAGCGCTCTCTAGTGACTGCATTGCACTAGGACATTATATTAATTCAGCTTTTTGTTGCTGTTTTAGGACCTTTGCACAGAACTGCAGAAACATCGAACACTTAAATCTGAATGGGTGCACAAAAATCACTGACAGGTAAGTCAAAGAGGTTTTTTGATTGATGGGAAAATTTGGAAAAAGAAGTAGCTGAAGGTATTTTTAGTGTGTCTGCTGTTTTGCAGCACGTGTTACAGTCTTAGCAGATTCTGTTCCAAGCTGAAACATCTGGATCTGACATCCTGCGTAGCCATTACAAACAGTTCTTTAAAAGGCTTAAGGTAAGAATATTCAGTGTTCTGTGTTGAAGAAAAGTGTTTAAAGAGCTGCTCAGCATTTAATAAAGTTAAAAAATTGGTGCTGAACCTTTATACTGTGAATCAGCACTGGCTGTATTCTATATCTAGGACTTCTGGGGTGTAGACTGTGGTGCTTGTGTGTGGTCTTTTCTCATGACTTTTCTGTGGAGGCCTGGCACAGTCCACTGGCTATCATTAATTTCTAACAGTGTGTTTAATTTGGGTTTCCCACTGTTATGACTATTTGAAGGCTGGATTTAACTTTATGTATTTTTTTAATTCTCCCAGTGAGGGTTGCAGAAATCTGGAACATTTGAATCTTTCCTGGTGTGATCAGATTACGAAGGATGGTATTGAAGCACTGGTGAAAGGGTGTAGTGGACTAAAAGCTCTATTTCTTAGAGGTTGCACACAGGTACATAATTGCTTGGGCGATCCTTTAGGAATAAAATTTTATTTTGGGTTTTTGAAATCTCCATGAATTAAAAAATGTCATTTTTGTTATAGTATTTTGTTCCATATTGCAAGATGTGTACATTTTTTGGGCTGCTTTGCTGTGCTTTTAATTTCTTGTTTCTTTTCCTATGTTCAATTTAATTACTAAATCCAGTTAGAAGATGAAGCGTTGAAACACATTCAAAATCACTGTCATGAGCTTGTAATCCTGAATTTGCAATCGTGTACAGTAAGTATTTGAAACTTCCAAAGGTACATTCTTTAAAAATTAGAAATAATTTTTGAATGCTAATGAATTGATCTGCTTTACACTTAAGTAAGATGGTACATTTCTGCAGTTTACAGGATTTTGTGTGGAATAGTAGCTTTAAATGAGCTGGTTGTTTCTACAGCTGAGTTTTGACATGAAGTGTTGGGTTTTTTTCCCCCTCATTACATCTTCTAACTGTGGTAAGCTCCAGAGTAAGAATTAACTGCATTCATTCAAATTTCATTAACTGTATAGCATTTTGGTCTATTCATAATTCTTAGGTTTCTAATTGAGCAGAAGTCATGTTCTGGGCTCCAAAATAGAGAGTAAAATGTAATGGCATCATAGCTGAAGATGATTCAGAGCTGTCTTAAGTGGCAGAAGGGCATGTCTTTTCAATATTAATGGAGAACACATTCATTAGTAATGAAATGCCTGGGAATCATTCATGAACTTTTAATTCTACATAGAGAACACAAATTTTCCTTGCTCTGGTTCTTTTTCATTGTTACTGATGTGACTTTTCAGGAATAGGAAAGGCCTTCTTTTAGATTTTAAATATATCTAAGTTATTCTTTCCCTGCAATTAGGCATTAAAAGATATTGAAATAAATTAGAATTTCATTGTTTCAGGCATGCAGAGTTGAATAATGAAATTATATTTTTGTTTGCTTGTTTTTGAAAAGTTTTCTAGTTTTGTTGCTAAAAGGTATCATAAAAACCTGCAAAACTTTCAAATCTGTTTTACAGATTATTCCAGAATGAATGTGGCATGGGAATATTTTTTGTTAAGTTCAAACCTAATAGATTTCTTTAAAGTGTTGAATATTTTTGAGTGTTAGGTATTATTAAAAGTTACATTAAAATTGCAGAAAATAAGAACTATACAAATACAAAGCTTGAGGTTCCATGAGCTAGGTGTTTAGTGAAAGAGAATTTTTCAGTCTGAATGTAGGTGCCCACTGAAGCTGGGCACTTAAAGATAAGAGCAGTGAAGGCAAGTTCCTTCTTTTTGTCAGAACCACACTTAAATAAGGTCTGTATGCAATTTCTTCCCCTCTTACTCTTCCTTTTGCTGTCCTTCTCACATGTTCTTTTTCTGTTGTGTTTTTCCTGGGACTAATGAGATAGATCAAGGCTAGCCTTTTCTGACTGCTTTTGTGGAAGGATCTCAAGAAGTCTGATAATAATTAGTTCTTATCTCCCCCACTTAACAGTGGCACTGGCACAGAAGTGCACCAGAACTTTCCCTTGGTCAGGATGTTTGTTGTTATGTAGTGCAAACAAAAAAACCTCCCAAGGGAAAGTATTTTTTCCTTTGAGTTTTTTGAGTTGTCAGTCTGTGTGTCCTACCTAATATTGTGCTCTAAAGCTGTATTTCACTGGAGGTGTGTCCTGCTTACTATGGCTTGGAAGCACACTTCCAGAGGCATCCAGGCTCCATATGATCAAAGGGATTTTTACACAGCAGGTCTCCTTTTGCTTTATATGACCCCCCACTGTAATTCTAGTGACTCTGTTTTGTGGGCCCTGTAAAAATGCCAGGCCAGCTCCAGCAGCTATGGAATGAAGTATTAGCTTTGGAAACTGCACATCTGAAAGGTTCCATCTTAAGAGAAAGATTTTTAGAAACTTGCTGGCATTTTTCAAACACTTTTATTTCTTGACAATGATATGGGCATTTAAATTACAAGCAATTTCAGACTGGAAAATTTTTAATATATAACTTGAGGGCTTTTTATAGCAGCATAAAATTTAAATAGCCCTTGCCTTCAAAGCAGTCCCTTTTCCCAGTAACAGTGTCATGAGTATTTCTCAAAGGAAACAGAACAGTTCCAGAAAATAACATGATTTTGGAAAGTTAAATCTAGAAGTACCTGTCTGATTTGGACAGAACTCCAAAACTTATCTTCTGCCTGTAGATTATACAAATCCTTCTGTATCCCTGAAAAAAAAACAAGACTTCTGTTTTCTGATGAAAGTAATTTGACTGATCTAGTTGCAGATCTAAACTTCTGATTAAACTTCTAAAAGTGCTGGGCTGGGGAGGGGGGTCATAAGGCAATCTGCCTTTGTGCTGAGCTACTGCTATTTCTCACCCTGTTTTCATCTTGGAAAGGATATTTTTGTGATAATGGTATCAGAAATTTGCTACAGTTGTATGAGCTTACTCAAATGAGGGGCTCATACAAGGCTTGTGTATTTTCTATTAAAAATACAGTGGGGGTCTTTGCTACTATTGCAAGAGTATTATTAAGCCAGGAAATAAAACAACCGGTTCCCCACAGCAGAAAAATTAATTTCATAATGTTAGGAGGAGGAGGAGAGAGTTTTTTCCAGAGCAGGAGACTTGTAAACAAAATCGTTTTTGCACACACACAGTAATCCAGTTCCTGTTGCTATTTTGTGTGCAGTGGGGATATTTCTTACAGTTCCTGTTTTAGAGAGAAAACTTACTCATTCATATTCTAAATTTGGAGTTACTCCTTACAGAATATCTACTACAAAATGTTTTTGAGAAATGAGAAGTCCTCTTTTGAGTTAAGTCTTTCATCTAAAGGCAGCTGTATAGGGTAGGGCAAATCTGGCTTTTACCCTTACCTTCCATAAAGAATCGATTATATGTAGTTGTTTCCCTGTAACTATTGCTTCAAAAATTATCAGTAGGTGAAGGATTTTGCATTTGGGTCCTACTGCTCCAGTGCAAATTAGGTACTCTTTTTTTTGTCTCCTGCTATGATGCTTTAAGATCTCTTTTGCACTGTTCCCAAATTTACACAGTCACTTAACAAAAGACATGGACCCCAGCAATATATAAGAAGTGAGCACAATTTAAAAAAAAAAAAAAAAAAAAAAAAAAAAAAAAAAAAAGAGTAAAAAATTATAAAACAAAAGCAAAGTGAAAGAGGAAGACAACAACAAACAACTCTCACTTTGAGCTTCAGAATGCCTTAGAGTAGGACTTATGGTCTATGGAAAAATACATAATTAAGTAGGAATTGTAAATGTTGATTTATCTTCAGTGTTACCATTTTATGTGGTTTCACAACTGTATTTTTTGGTTGAAAATCCAGGTTGCCTTGGTTATATGGTGTGATAGTAGCAGTTCAGTAGCAGTGTCTTGAGTTTTTTTCTTGGCTGATTGCTTGATAAAGAAGTAACTTCAGTCTTCTTCTGTGTTGCAGCAAATTTCAGATGAAGGCATTGTGAAAATCTGTAGAGGATGCCATAGACTGCAGTCACTCTGTGTTTCAGGCTGTAGCAACCTGACAGATGCTTCTCTCACAGCACTTGGTCTGAACTGTCCAAGGCTGAAGTAAGTATGTCATGAGTGTGTTGTATGTCATGTTCTCACTTGCCTGATCTAAGAAATTCACTTCGGAAGATGAGCTGCATTTGCAACCAAAACATTAAATTACAAGTACATAAACTTGAGGGCTGGTCCTCTGTAGCTTCATATGAATGTAGTTCACTGTATATCAGAAAAACAAGAGTTAACATATAATAAATAAGATGTGCTGAACCCAGCAGTTCAATTCTGTGCTTCTAGCTAAATATTTTAAGTACTAATTACAAGTGAGAAAAAAAAAAGATAAAAAGCCCATTAATTTTTTAAAAGCTAAAAATACCTGTGGTTGTGTTGTGTCTTGTGGTGTTTGTACTCTGATGTGGTTTTATTTTTATTACAAAAAATAGCTAAATTATATCTGATTATTATATTTAAAGTTTTTATTATAGAAGTGCTTTTAATATGCTCTGCAGTACAGCCTGGTGTTCTAAAACTCTGAAATAAAGTGTGCTCACATTTTTGCAAGCATTGAGGACTGATATTTATGAGAGATATTTTGAACAATAGGGGCTTATCAGTTAAAGATAATATAAACTTCCACACTGTGTGCAAACATATGTGTTATGGTGGGCTTTAAAACCAAAAACCATCAGCAGCTCCCTGATTATGCAGATATATTGTAGAGACAGATAATACTTCTAATTTTAATGTAAATTAAATAAAAAAGACAAGATTTTTGGATGACAAATTGCCATTTATGACAGCAACATGCAGGAGTCAGAACTTGTTATCCTTAAGTCACAGATAGTGGAGGAATGAGTAGTTTGTAAAATTTAGGGGATGCTGCATTCAAATGCCAGTGTACCATATATTGACACACAGTGTTCCTTTAGCTGAATGGGTGAAAAAGAGCTTTTGTTAGTGTAGAAGACCTGTCCTTAAGACAATTCCAGGCTGGCAGTCCCCTTTGTCTTTGAACAGGGACCTGTTCATATTTATTAGGGGCTTAGGAGTCTTTTGGCACCGCTTACTGGCATTCCCTAGAAAGCTGTGCTGTTATTGCTGGTCTTTTTCCAGCATTTCTCTCATTTTCTCTATTAGCATCTCAGATGGGAAATAAAAGGAGGTCTGAACTGCTGTTAGTTGTGCAATTCTTTCCAAGGGCACCAGGAATTGTTTCGACTTGGGTAGGAAAACTGTCAGCCACAAGGGGGAAGGCGTCCGCTGCTCTCCTCCTATAATGAGGAACAGCACAGAGAAAGAAAACAACGCTTTGCAGTGATTACCGCTGAGGATTACTGCACGTTGGAAGAACAAAGGATACAGCTGGTTACAGCTAGACTTTGGGGATCATGGATGGAAAGTAGTTGATAAAAATTATGTTGGAAATCAAAGGGAAATGTAATTCCACACTTGTTCTGTACCTTATGAATATTTCAGTGTTGAGTGTGAAAGAAAACTCTGTTGCCTCTGTTGGACTTGCTGGCCCTGTTAGGAAATTTTTGAGTATTTTCTGTGCTGTGTTACTCTCATTTCACTTCAGGATCTTGAATGTTCTATATGTATCTATGCTGCTTTCCATAATACTGCTGCATTTCCCTGATTCAGTTGTTACCAGTCACAAATATCTCCTTGGACAAAAATTTAGGCCAAGCTTTCAGCAGACTCTTCAGCTATATTTCTTATCTCACATCAACATACAGGTGTCATGTCATCCCTCTTTACATTTGCTCTTTCAGGTGCTTGGTACCTTCTCTCTTTTTCTCCTTTATTAGCACTTTTTAATGCTAAACTACTTGTAGGTATTTTGGTAAGGCTTGTCAAGAAAAGCACCTGTGAACCATGAATATCTTTGGGTGGGGCTGTGAAAGTTAGGATCATATTCCTTTTAGCCCCACCAGCTGCTATTCCACAGGAGGAGGGAGGTGCTGAGTGCAGAGGCATTCCAGGTGTGCCCAAAAAGCAGCTGTAGGCAATGAATGCAACTCTGTCTTGGAGAACATTTCTTCATAAGAGTGGAGAATCTGCTTTGAATATCATTTTGCCTCATCAGCTCCTATGTTAGCTACTTTTTCACAAATCACTGGGTGGGAAATTCATGTCAGCTGTTACAGGAAAAAAGAGCTCTCTGTATTTAAGCACAATCACTAAAACAAAAGCAAAAATTAGAACTTTGCTCATTATTTCCATGCTGCCCAGTGCCTTCCCACCTGTTTTTTCATTCTGGGCCTGATTGATGCAGCATGTGTGTATACAGCTCACTCCCATTCTCCTGCCCTGGCTGTCTGCACACCCAATTTCAGGAATGCTAGAGCTGCTTATCTTCTGGTTTCTTATTCCTCTGTTTCTATAGTTGTCTTTTCAACTGGGTGTGCAGGAAGTAGCATCCTCACTATTTTGGATATCATTGCAGATGTCATTCCCTCTCCAGCCCCTCTTTAAAGTCAACTATGTAATGAGATGGGGTTTGTAGAAGGTAAGAGATGAAAGGAGTTAGAAGGGTGACAAATGTGACCTGAATCATGAGGTTTTTTTTGTGGTGGTGGTGTTTCTCCCCTTCCTATTTGGTATTATAGTCAATTTTTAGAGTAGCTGAGAGTATTTTATGATAGGCTGCTAACTGCCCTTGATGGAAGGGCACAGAATTCCTGAATGTGAGTCTGTAAAGTAAGTCCCAGAGGTATTAAAACCATCTATTTGGGAAGAGGTGCCTGTCTTGTACTTGGCTTGAGTTTCCCTCATATTTGTGAACCTTGTTGAAGACTGTAACTCTTAAAGTGGCTTTTCAAGCCTGTGGGGCTGCTCAGCTCTAAATTGGCTGTCCTTTTGATTTTGGCTTGAAAGAGGCTGATCCAGCAAAGTTGTAGTCAGAGCCCCACATCCTGTACTTCAGTGGGGTTGTAATTAGTTCATGCACCCAGTGTGGCTTTTCCCTTTGCACTTTCTCTCAAGAGAGAGAGTGTTCTAATGACCTCCTAAGCCAGTGGAAGGATCTGGAGGTCTCTCAGTAGTGCCACAAAAAATTCTTTTGTCCCTCTTTCCCTGCCTTCTCCCCACCAGCTCTGGTATAGCAGCTGTGGTTGCACTTAGTTTGTGCTGCTCATCCCACGGCACTGTGGTTTCCCTTTATTCATCTTGATACTCACTCCACCTGCAAAGGAAAGTGTTCATTAAAAAAGGGCAAAGAAAACAACAACAAATCATTAGTGGGATGGAGTCCTGGTGTGCATACTAGTGGTGTTGTTTGGGGCAGTTGACCTTTTTGGGTTTTTTGTCAGTACTGCTTCCCAGTGCCTCTTGGAAGAATGTTAGGATTATCTTTCCAAAACACTGTCATTTTCTTTAAAGTTCTGTTGATATAGTTTGTTGTTCTTACTGTGGGCTTGGAGATTTTTAGCTCCTTGCCTTCTGGTAACTTGCTTCACTGCGCTTCATGCAGAGGCTCTGAAGGGATTTCAAGTAAGCACTTTCTCAGTTTTGTGCTTCCCAGCAGCCTGTGTTTAGATAACAGGTTTTAGATGCAACTTTCTTTAACTCAGGATTTATTTTCCCATATCTTTCCTTAGATAACACATGAGAAAACTTGGTCACTATGCTTTTAGTGAAACAAGAGTTTGAAATTGCTCTAATTGTGAATAATTTTTTTCCACTGAATATTCTGTGACTGTCAGAATCTTCTGATAAACTGGATTAAAAGTCTGTTGTTTTAATTTCAAATCACAGTGAAAAATGTCAGGGAGGGTGTATATGTGTATATGTACACATACTTTAGCTATTGAGAACTTCAAAGTTGCAGAAGACAGATTTGTATCTCAAATGCTTTTGCTTTTCTCTATGTTAATGTTTTCTTTAACATTTAAAACTTTTCCAGGATTTTAGAAGCTGCAAGATGTTCACATCTCACAGATGCTGGGTTTACCCTTCTCGCACGGGTAAGGGTCATTTCAGAAGGTTACAGCTTGCCCTGTTTCATTGCTGCTGAGCAGCTGTGAATTGATGTAGTCCTGCTGGGAAGCAATATGAGAAGAGGAAAATTAAAGTAGAAATAAGCCAGTGGAGGAGGGGACTAAAAAGCTATTTTATTTATGGATTATACTTAGATCTGCAACTTGATCTGATTTACTGTCTATCACTGCATTTTTCACTTTTTTCCCTCTCTTTTTCCATTTGTTTCAGCTGTATTTATTACACTTAACACAAGTCTAAACTCATGTCATGTATTCTAGCCAAATTTCCCTTATATTGATGGCCCTTGTGATAGCTACATAAAAAAAATCAGTATATAATAGATTGTTCTGAAGATAACTTTAAATTAAAGAACACTTACATTATACATTATAAACTAAAAGCACTTGTGCCCTGATTCATGCTGTAAATATGTACAGTAAGCATATTGGTGGTATCAAATGCTTCATATTAGACTTGTGTGCTTGCTGGTTAGGAAATCTGAATGCAAAAGTTATACTCTGTAAATGGGATTTATGCTGCTGATACTTAATCTCAATGAAAATGGTTCTTTTTGGTAGACAGAGTGGTTAAAGTGGTTTTCTGATTGTCCAGCACTACATCCTCAGGCTCTTGGTAGTCACCTCAAGCCTGCTCTTAAACCCTTTTTTTTTTTCTGTTCCTGGAAAAAACAGATTGGGAATTGAGCCGAGGTTTGGCACTGTGTGGTCTGCTGCAAGGTCACAAGGTTACATCCTTTTCTTGAAAATAGTGATGATCATATATTGAAAACATTTCTGAAAGCTTGCTGGGGGTCTCTCAGAAAGTTGCTGAGAAAATTGCTTGTGTAGGTGTGACATGCAGCTTCCCTCCACCATTAAAGTAGACCCTATTTTAATATTTTCACCATTCATTGGCATAGCAATTTGGTTTTAAGGCTTCTTGCTAGTGTATGACAACGAAGAGAAATGTGCCATGGGCTTAAGGGTATTCCAGATGAGTTAGGTGCAGCTGATAAAGGCAGAAGTTGGATTCATGTGTGTGCTTTAGTGCATGGGCTGTAAATACCATGGGTTTGGAGTGAGGGGGGCAGGGAAGCAGGGCTGCTGAGCACTGGTATATCCTGTTCAAACCTTACAGGACAAGGAGGAGACATTCCACTTCATAGGAGAAAGGCTGAAATTTAGACATTTCAGAGGGAGGTGGGGTATTGCTTATTAATTTATCTGTTTATTTAACAGGTTTTTTTTGTCTTTTGCTGGTGATCAAATATTTGAAGGGATTTAGATCACAATTTCCTCTTGCAAGCTGTGCTGTCCCATATTATAAGTCCTGTGCATGATTTTATGTCTGTATGTTGTTTTATTTGATTTCTTGTTTATCTGTTCATTTTTTGTTTATTGTAGAATTGCCATGAGCTGGAGAAGATGGACTTGGAAGAGTGTGTTTTGGTGAGATTTAATATGAAAAGGAATATTGAATGTCCAGTGTAATGCAGTACATTAACACCTTCATCTAGATCTTCTTTGGTTTTTATAAATAGTGTTGTGTTTATGGTAAGAAATAAAAATAATTATTGGGAAACTCTATACAGGGAAATACTTGGAGGGTAACAGGTGATGGGTTGTTTCCAGAAATAACAGAACCCTCATCTGGTAGAGGAGGAGATACCTTATTTGAGGGCTGCTCCTTCTGCAGTCTGTTGCTTATGGCTGACGTTTGGTTTCTTTTATTCCCAGATAACTGACAGCACATTGATACAACTTTCCATACACTGTCCTAAGCTGCAAGCATTGGTAAGTGTAACTCCTGGTCTGTGGCCTCTGATGCTCTCCCCAAATGGCACACACAGACAGCTCCTGCAGTACAGACACAGGCTGTTCACTATTATATATAGAAAATAATATTATATATAGAAATAATTCCTGATGTACAGTGACACTGTGCAAAATATGTGCAAGCTTCATAAGTATTCTAAAAGCAGCACATTACTTCTAAAATATTTACATGCATTGTGTGATGAAAAAATGTTACCAAATCTGTGAGTAAAAACCAGAAAGCTTTTATTTTACAATTAACATCCTTCATATTTGATTCCTTACATATTTGATTTAATTTAAAGCACTTAGATCCTTTATGGATATTGTCATGTGTTCAGTAATGGTTTTCTTTGGGAGTATGACACTTCACATCAAATACTGAATAAACAAAAGCACCCAGAGATGACAAATGCAATCACTGTAAGCAGTTTTGCATGCAAGCACTTTTTGGCAGGGACTACATTTACATAATAAATTATGGAATGTTTCCTTGGACTTGACTTTTGAACATAATTGGAGAGGATTGAGAGTGGGGTACCCTGCTTGCTGGATTTCAAAGCACTGTTTTCTAGGGAGTGGTGGCTTAGATCTTTCAGATCATCAAAACAAATTTGAGGTAACATAAATTTGTCTGTTCTTCAATCAAGATATTTTAAAATTGCCAGATTGTTCTTACAGTAGGAGCTCCTGTACTTTAGGCCAGTTGTCCTTTAGTGTAGATTTGTTATAACTACTTAGAGCTACATGAGAGAACAAGTATCTTTATAATCTGTTCTTAGATGGGATTAAAGGAAGGTGTTCTTCTTCCTTAATTAAATTGTGTTATGATTAGTGTTACTAAGGGAGCAACATGAAGAAAGATGGCTTTTAAAATGAGCTTGTTCACTATTTTATATTGGTTTTTTTTTTATTTTTCCTTATCAACTGGCCAGCTTCATTTCTGAACCATTATTCTTGATGTTAAACCAAATGAGTTGTCAGGAGATGTGGAGCCATTTACATGAGACATGTCTTTGTATTGTAATCTCAGTTGCAGCCAGTTCTTGCAGGAGATCTTTTGTATCAGTGCTGTCAGTGCTTTGACAGAGATACCATAAAACCTCATAAATCTGAAGCACTTTTTTCTGAGCCTGCTTCTCTCTGCTGGCCTTTGTGTGTTTGCCCATGGACAGGGAAGTGTGGCATTGGTAAAACATCGTAGCTTTTCCAAGGGAACTGGATAACTTGATTTCTTTGGTGTGTGTGTATGTGTGTGTGTATATATGTATATATTTATATATAACCTGTGGGTAGGAAGGATGCATACTTAGAGATTGTGTGTGAACAGCAGTGGCTGAGAATTACAGGAAAAGACAAGACAGGCAGGTGCCAAATACAGTGCAAGAATTAATCTTGGTGCTTCCAATTTTGGTTCCAATCCAAGTTTGCTTCCTGCAAACTTCTTTGAAGATGTGCTTTAGTTTGTTTGCACTTGGAACAAACATTTTGGAGTTGCAGAGATGAACTTTGGTTTTGCTTTTGTCATGTTGGGAGACTCAGTAGATGGTGGAAATAGGCAAATCTTCAGTATCAGAGGGCTTTATTGCTTAATGTACTTAAGAAGTAATTTCTGGTTAAAATATTTAATAGTATATTTAAATTAGTAGAGAAACTGTCAAGTACTCATAATAGTTCTGAAGATGAGAAGACAATTGAATTCTTCAGAGTGTGTGAAGTTCTCATAGTATGTCATAAAATATTGATTTATGCACAGCATTTAGTGTGTATTAACAAAACAAAAAAATAATTTGACCATATGTCTTTGTTCTTACAATTTCAAGCAATTGCCTTTGTAAAATTCCACATTATAAATGCTTTTTAGCTGGCTTAGGAAGTCACAAAAATCCTGTGGTTTAATATGGAGTGTGTGTAATTTGGCATATTTGTTCTACAAAGTTCTGCTAACTCAGCTGTACATCCTGTATTGTCCTCGCAGTACCAAATACCACGTCCCAGGAAAGCTGATTTTATAAGCTGCTTACTTTCTGGGATGGAATACTCCTAATTAGCCAACAGCTTCACAGAACCTCGTGTCCTTCCTTGGAAGAGCAGGTGTGTTATGAATGTTGGTTAACCCTGCAGCTGCTGATTGTTCCCAGGCTCTGAGCCAAACCAAGTGTTCAGAGCATGTACACAGAGAAAGGATCTACAGGAGAGAGCTGACGTGTTTGAAGACTAGAGAGACTGCCTGAATGGGTGTCAGGAGTTAAAACATTGTTGATAGGAGTAAGCACTTCATTTCTGCTGTCTTTTGGAGACAGTTTGTCCTGTTGGTGTTACTTGGAATCCCTGCTGGCTGCTCACACTTGGTGTGTAAAATTGGACCAGCTGGAGCTGAAGGGAAGCTGCCGAGGCGGCTCCCATCAGACTCCAGGGGAGATGCAGACCTGTCTCCCAGCCTTTCTTGGGTTCCCTGCTCATTCCATAAAGCAAAGGCGAAAAAAGGTGAGGGCAAATTGTTTCAAAGAGCAGGACAGAACCTACGTGTCGGGTAACAGGAAGGAAATGCTCATGACTGTAGCTGAGGTGAAGTAAGGCTGAAAGTCCCCAGGTGGAATGAAAAGATGTGTTGCACCCAGAGAGAGGAAAGGTTACATGTTAGCATTGGGGGATTGACAGGAGGTCCTTTGGAGCACTGCTATTTCCTGGCTCTGAGTTAAGTGCTTTTGGACTGCTACAAGTGTTTCTTCATCAGCTGCTGTCTGAAAAAGACAGCTTGGGGGAAATGCTACTTCAGGCACTGTTAGACTTAGGTACAAGTACAGGCAAAACACAGGGCTGAGCATAAAGCGAGGTGCTAGCTCGGAGCCCAGGGCAAGAGGAGTAGAGTTCACAGATCCTGCACATTTCACTGGGGAAGACTTGAGAGCATTCATTTCAGTGGTGACAAAGAGTGGTTTTTTAAGCCGCCTCTGAGGAATGTCCGTTTCCTGTTGTTGTCATCATCCGTGCTTCTCCAAAAGTCATGAATTCCCTAAAGAAATGAGGAGAGTGCTTTATGTGGTGCCACTGCCTAAGATGCAACATCATTTTCCATGTTCTTGAAATTCAAGGGAGTGAAAAAAATGTGCTGAAGAGGAGCAGATTTTTTTGGTTTATTATGCTGACTGTTGCAGAAAAGACTGCTCCTGCAGCTGTACAAGATGTTTATTGCTCTTTGTCTGTACAGCCTGAGGTGCCAAATGTTCATGGCTTGGGTTTTTTTGAAATCATTATTTGGCAAATCAGTCCATTCTCTATCTATGTGGACTTGCACAGGCTTGGTCCCGGTGTATGCATGAGAACATGGCAGCTGTGAAACAGTAACCCCTGAGCACACTCATCTATTCCCGTATGTTCTCCATCATCCTTTAAAGTTGTTTCTGGCACAATGCTGTTTGCACTGTGTGGGACAATTGGAAAAGAATTCCCACATTCATAGAGAGCAAAGGGGCCCGAGGAGTTTTGCCAGTGATGTGTTTTGGGACTCAGCTTGTTTTGAAGCAAAGTTAAAATCAAGTACAGCCGTTTTATTAAGTAAAGCAGTTTCTTTTTTTACTCTTCTGGATTTCAGCCATGTATTATTTGTAGCTATTTAACCACTGGAGTGAAGGAGGTTGAAGAGGACTTCTGATGTCCAGAGGCTCGAGCAGCTTAGGACTGCAGGATGTTGTTAATTGTTTGCCTCTCTGTTTTAGAGCTTATCTCACTGTGAACTGATCACTGATGATGGGATTCTTCACCTGAGCAACAGCACGTGTGGGCACGAGAGGCTGCAGGTGCTGGAGCTCGATAACTGTCTCCTCATCACGGATGTGACTCTGGAACACCTGGAGAACTGCCACAACCTGGAGAGAATTGAGCTGTACGACTGTCAGCAAGTCACACGAGCTGGAATCAAACGGATCAGAGTATGTGTTTCCTGGCTTGTTCCATGGAAAAGCCTGAGCTGTTGGTATTGCTTGAGATTGTAGGAGTCCTACAGGTGTCCCAGGCAAGGAAGGCTGGATCAAGAGTCTGACTGTCCTTCTGTTAGGTCCCCATGGTGTAACATCCCTGGATGAACAACAATAATTGTCAGTTCTGATTTGTGGCATTTTGCTCTTGGAATGATGAGCTCTTATCTTCTTCTTTCTGTATTTTTTCAAATACAGGCCTCCATTTTTAGGATGGTGTAGTGGCATGCTTTACCCTAAAAATATGTTATATACGTATATATATATCCTAAAGTATATGTTAATACACATTGCCAATAGTAAAACAGCCGCATGGATATTTCAGTTGGTGGGCTGTAGGACCCTTAGGCCTGGGAATCCAGCCCCAAACCTTTTCCATGTGTATCTCACCCGTTAGGTCAGGGACCACCTGCCTTGTGGGGACAGTGTTTTAGCCTTGCAGTTAAACCTGCCTGCAGCTTCGTATCCAAAATTGTGTCCAAACACTTTTGCAACTGGAAAGCTCATGCCTGATAGTGACTCAAATTGAGGGCAGAAGCAGAGTTATATTTCATGCTGCTTTGCAGGATGAGAACAGCAGTGTTTGGGAGACAAGGTTCAGACAAGTTGTCCCTCAGTAGCCAGGGTTCATCCCTCTCACCCTGCAGCAGAACATGTGCCTCTCCTGATGCAGAGCTTTATTGGGGAACCAGGGGGAGCCCTGTGCAAGCTGAGTGCCCAGATGCTGGTGTGCCTTAGCTGGATAGGGCAAGAAGAATTACATGGAAGGAGACAGCTTGGCAGGTATCCACTGTGGAGATGCTTTATTGCTAACTAACCTTAATGAGATACTATTTGCTGGCACAACAGTTGAGGTATGCTGCTTCTCTTTTCAATTCTGTTCTTTCTCTCCCATTATAATGCAGCCTTTTCACCCACAGGCTCATCTACCTCACGTGAAAGTTCATGCTTACTTTGCTCCAGTAACACCCCCTCCATCGGTCGGAGGGAGCGGACAGCGCCTCTGCAGATGCTGTATTATCCTCTGACAGTGAGTGCAGCCACACAGAAAACGTGGTTGAAGAATGGGACAGCAAGTCAGCGGAAGGAGTCGGTTTCCTGACAAGTCCTAATGGTGGTGTTTGGTCATCCAGTTTTGTGACAAGAAAAGCGTTTTTTTTCCCCAGGTAAAAATCTTAACGTAATGTGCAGCTGTGGATTAAGTTGGTGATGCTTTGGTTTGTATTAGTAACTCCTTCCTTCTGTTGGCATGAGAACTGCGGTACCGTGTCAAACGTGGGCATTGCAGCGTAGCAGCTGCGCAGTGGAAGTTCACGAAACTTGGAAGTTAATTTGCATTTGTCAGCACTAGTCGGTGTGAAGTTCTGCTGTAACATGGGCCATGCCAAGGAACTGAGCCTGCTGTTCTGTAATATACACCACAGATCACGTATCAGGTTTAAGGACAAATCAGCTTTAGCAGATGTTGACCAAAAAATGCAAAGTAATCATAAGCTCTTACAGTGAAACAGCAGCTTGTTCTTTTTCATGATTCAGCTTCATATTTAATTATGTAACAGGAGCTAATAGGTAATGTCAAAAGGTAAGATAGTACCTCAAGATACCCATAGAACTAGAAATACTTCCCAAGTTTTGGACTTGGTTCAGTTGAACTCTGCTCTTACAAAGCTTGCCCGTCGCCGACGCACGTTCTGCCCGATGCCATCGGCCTTGAACGGGGTTAAGAAATCCACTGTGGTAGAGCCCGTGCACTCTACTGTACCTGCTGCCACAGCCATCCATGGTGCTTTCGCCAACGCCATCCCCGCGTCCTCCGGGACCGCCGTGGAGTGCAAGGAAAGGATGCTTCCAGGAGGAGGGGTGTAGCACACATGCTTTTCTACAGATGAATGGAAAACAGGATGGAGCAAGGAATTCAGTTTGGCCCACCCATTTGAGGGAAAAGCATCTGGGCTCATCAGTCTGTAGGCAGGAGTTGAACCACACCAGACCTGTGGTTTTCAAATGTAGAAAGCCAAACTCTTCACATTTGGTTAAGAAGCTGTCAACGTCTGAATGATAATAATGATGATAAAAATCTACGTATTAACTCTTAAGGCCATGCTTTCATCTTTAGTTTTTCAGTGCTAGACGATTAGATAAACTTTTTTTATATTAAGCAATTTAATTATCTGAGAGAAACTACTTGACAGTTCAGAAAGCTTTTCTTGTGTAAGTTTGACTTTCTGTGTGTGTGTGTGTGTTTTAAGAGTTCAGGGCCTGTGTTTACTGAAAACGAAAAAGCAGTTGGAAAAGCTACTACTGGACAGAACTGCCATTTCCCCCCTGCAAATTTTAAACCACTTCTAAAAAGGATTAAGTGTGAACATGAACTTCTGTGGCCAGCAGTGGCTGGGTTGTGTTCATGACTCACAGAGAATGGGGACAGTGAATTAAGACCTGAGCTTTGGGATTAAATTACACTTCAGACTACAGTACATGGATTTCTTTATTACTACAAAATAAGCCAATCTGGGCTTCTTTTGCACAGTAGTGGAGTGCTGTTACAGAGTTCCATTAAGACACTGCTGGTCTAATGAGAGTTTGAACCAGATTTTATTCTCAACTGTACCAGGGCAGTCATTGGTACCAATATGTCAAGATGTGTTGCCTTTTGTTGGCTCATTTTTTTTTTCTAAGACCATAATGAACCTTGTAAGTCTATTGCATTGAAGATGTACAAAAACAAATGGAACCTACTCTGATATAGGACACTTAAATAAACAATCAGCTGATGTCAAACTTGAATTTGTTGGAATTATTTCAAATCTAAGCAAGATTTCTGCTAGAAGATCCATGTGAATGCACTGTGTGCAGGATATTCTGCAGAGCTGGTTTACTTCCCTTCCTAACCTTGACCTATGATTCGTGCTAGGGCAGGTCTTGCAATTAACCTGAACCTTAACAATGGACTGTCTCTAATGGGGGCGTTGGAAAAAAAGTAAACAAAAAGAAAAGCACATTTACAAAATTATTGAAAAACATTTATTATACTTAAATTGAAATGTGTACATCTTATTAAAAAACAAAAGCCATTTGCTGGTGCCATAATTTAATTCCAATTTCAAGTGAGCGCTGGACAAACTACTGTACAACTTTCAATATTCTTTAAAATTAGATATTTGGATACTTTCCAATCAAGGATTTTTCCACTTTTATAAAACATTTGGATTTGAATATGGTGTGAGCTAAAAAGACACAAGTGTCAGTTCAGGAAAATACTAGGACCAAACAATACCCAAAGATGAACAACTTATAGGTAGAAATGTTTAAGAACATAAAATTTTACTTTCAGTGCAGAAAAAAAAAACCAAACCAAAAAACCAAAAATAGGAAAAAACCCTCTAGGTTTGATGAATTTAAATTTTCAAAATGCTACAGCTTTCAGAAGCTTTTCTGCTAAGCATTTGAGCCACTTATGAAAGGGGAAATGAAAAAGTAAAAAGTTGCTTTTCTACATGCTGTAGTATTGGTTTACACGGAATACCGCAGCATAAAAAGCAAACTATTCCCAAGCTTTTAAGCCAGAGATCAAGTTGGAACTTTCCAAAGGCACAGAATAACAGCTCTGAAACTGTCACCTACCTCTGTGTACCTCTGGAAATACTCCCCTTTAAGTACCTAACAACCAATTGCCACTTAATGTTAGCCTAGGAAATGCTGTGCCATGACTTTACAAGACATATCCAAAATACCAAGAAAGCACATTGCCTGTTTCAGAGAAAAGTGAATATTTGGTCATATGGAAGAGGCACTGTAACAGGTGTACAGTATGGATGGATGGAGGGTGCAGGAAGGACAACTAAAAAGGTAAGAAGAGATTTGTCCAGAATAGGAGCGCCAGCAGGGCGTTCACCTGCTGAGAAGGAGACTTACAGGGTGTGTATTTAGTGTTTCTCAAGCAATTTATTCGATGCTGCTGAAAGCTATGACAGCCCTGTGGTGCCAGTGGGTCATCTTCCCTCATCAGCATAATTCCACTGAAAACCCCACTTCTCACTGCCATTATTTTTAAACCCACAATTTTACAAGCAAAGAGTTAAACTGCAGCAGTGCTCCGCAGAGAACCTAGGAAACTAAACATAAAGGATGCATAGGCAATTCTTTTCCATTAAATTCATTAAAGCAAAACACAATTACTTGGTACCCCATAGGATTTATATTAATCCCTCCAATAAGGTACTATTGATAATGCAGTTTGCTGCATGCATATATTGCATCTGTCTAGGGCTTCTTAAAAGCCCTGTTCTGGCATTTACACTTCTTACATACACTCTTATACACAATTTACACGGGAAGCTGTTTTGACAGCTTTACTCTCAAAGACCTGACAACCTGATCACTATCACCTTAACTACTCATCTTCACACAGATTAGCATGTGCTCTGCTAACATCAAAAAATAAAATCAGCGTAAGGTACAAGCACGTAATAGACAAACTGGCACAGAAAGGTAAATGCCCCAAAATAAGTCTACATTCATCTCCAACTGGATACAGATAATAGAAAAGCAGCACTGCTTCACTTCTATAAACTGTATCTACTGGCCATAGTTTGCCTTATTTCAGTGAAGGGCAAGCACCTTTGCTTACATTGTCTTCCATGCCTGTACAGAAGCTGTCATGGCATTATACCTCTCATGAGGACACTTAGCTATGGCAGTGATAAGAAAGTTCACCTATCAAACAGCTCATTAGAAAGGTCATTTTGTGTTTTCAATATGAAACATCTTATACAGTGAAGTTAGATCCTAAGGTTTTGGATGATCTTCATAATCTTTAGGCAGGACTTCATTCTGTGTTGGAGTATCAGTCTAGCAAGTATGTGATGTCACTTCAAAATTATATGGAAGCCTTCTCCATTTTCAGCTGAAAAAAACAAAGGAAATGTCAGTCTTTCTTGAACAGAATCACAGAACTACAAGCCACTTCACCAAAACACCCAAGTATGGACTTTGAAAATAAACTCATCTACAACAAAAACTTTAAAGTTTCCTACTTGTGCTAAACAAAAAGGTTATGATTAATGATTTGTAACTGGATCTTCAAAGAGGAACAGTTTCTGTAGGTAAAGTTTGCACAGAGTCAAACTTGTCCTTAGATTTGTCCAACTTGATTAGTGCCATTTGCTGACACTTTGTATCAGAAATAAATTGGAGTTGTAAGAAAGAGTGGGATTCAACAACAGCCTATTGAAGATGACTACTGACTAGCAGAGAAAGAACAAAATGTTATGCTCAGTTGTGCTGACTCTCAGGACTCAGTTAAGATTAAATTTCTGAACTTCAGAGTAACTACTGCCAGGATTTTTAACATTTTTTTTTTTTAGCCTATTTTGAAACTTCACCATTCTCAACAATTATTAGCAGCATCACTGTCCAGTGATGTCTGACTAAATTTTACATAAGGTTTGTTACTGAATCCTGCACTGGTTGTGAACTGAAAGCTTGAAGAAGAGCCTGAGATGCTACACAGAGATTAGCTAGGAGAGGAAGAACTCTGAGTATCTTCTGCCACTGTGTATGCAAAACTTTTATAATTTTAAAGAAGGCTTGTTGCTGGAATAAACAAGTTTTAGACTGTCAAAAGAGACAACATACCTTTTATTGTGGTGAATAAGAAACAACTCTCATCTTGAAAGTTTTGAACCATCTACAAAAAAAAAAAGTTTCAAAACCTTCTGAGAGTGACCAATGAAAAACACAAAACAAAAACACCCCTCAACAACCCTGATATTAAACACAGCCTTTTGTACGCAATTGTGTATTTCTGGTTGTGTTCAGCAAGTGACAGGCATATACCAAATTAAAATCCATTACTAGTAAAATACTGCTTTTTTACTCTAGTGACAACCAGCTGGGAGCCCATTACTGCTGGCTGTGTTTTTGGCACTCTGTGGAGGAGACACTTGAACAAGCAGAGTTCAACAGTGTTTAAATGCTCCCTGCCTTTGGGCGTGCTCAAAATAAATATGTACTAAATAATTGCTGCAGCTTCTCAGAACTATATAAACCAGCTGCCTCTGTCTTCTCAGTTCAGTCAGGCAGAGTCACATTTAAGGAATCCTTCTGTTCATTTTATTGTTAAGGAAAAAACAGTCTAAATGTCAGAAAATACTAGGGTTCCATCATCAAACAGAAAAAACAGTAATAAATAAGCAAGCATAAGAAAACCCTCCACTCCCAGTCATAAATAAAATGCCAAGAAAATAGAATTTCAATTACCTGATCACTAACAAGAATGTGGATGCCTGTTGGACCCTGTCTGTAAACTTGGTTGATCTGATGCAAAGGAATATTAAATGCCAAAGCAAGCTTGCGTGTGACTTCTGAGGCTGCCATCTCCTCTAAGTAGATTGCATGATAAACTACAAGAAAAGAAATTATTTACATAAGCATGGTACTAATCAGTAACTCTAACTATATTAAAAATATCTGAATCTGTTGATATTCAAGGCTTTCAAAAATTTTAAAACCGAAAACTTTTAGTTTACTCTCTCCCTGCTCTCACTAAAAGCATGAACTGCCCTAACTTTTCTTTCAGGGAAAAGTCATAAACACAACTCTGATGAGGGGAGGCTTCTATTTGCTCTGAGACAAAAGGCAACTTCCACGTTTTTTCCTGTATCCTGTACAAAAAGGCACAGTCATGTCAAACAGACTTAAAAGTGGATCTTTAGAGAGTCACCTAAAGATGGTTTTGAAAGCAATTTTGGTCAGTCTCAAAAGAATCAGGTAATACTTACATCCCACTTATGTGCCTATGCTATTGCTTTAAATACAGAAGTAGATTTTGGGGTTTTGGTAAATAAAGCCTTCTACAACTGAATAAACTTTCTACAGATCATCTCAGAGCTGAATGCAGCACAGCAAACAGAACAGTAAGACAAAGCAGCTGTTCAGTTTGAAGCTGTATTTACAGTTCTGTATCTTTATTTAACAGTGCAGGAAACTCTTGGCAGCTCCAAGGTTGCACGTTCTTCTGGCTGAAGATATCCTGAGTGGAAACATGTATTTGACAGCAGCCGTATTTTATTTACAGATCCTCCTCCACCTCAATTCTTGCATGGAAAACCCACAAGTGCTATTGAAGTAGCCTGTGCAGATTTCAGCTGGGGAGAGAGGTCTCTCAAAGCCACAAGTGCTATTGAAGTAGCCTGTGCAGATTTCAGCTGGGGAGAGAGGTCTCTCAAAGCCAAGAGCAAGAAAAGAATCATTTCAAATAGTTCCATTCTCTTAATTGTAAGAGTGACATGCATTTACGAATAAACAGTTATGTTTCCATCTGTGTTGAATCAACAGCTGTCAGGGAAATAATACTAAAATCAAGAGCCCATTCACTACTTGGTTGTTCTTCCTTGTCCAGGCTCTACAGTTTCAGATCAGTTGCACAGAAAATGACAGCATAATCTAACAGAAAATGGGAAAGAACTGTTTTATTTGCATGTGGCTTTTACATGCACCTACATTTATTTATATGGTTGATATCTTGTCTGTAACAACATGCACAGCTGATTCCAGAGCTCCTTCATTCATGACCCTGTAATTACAGTTAGTTTTGTCAACAGACTGAAAATGCTCAATGGTTTACCCTTGAGAGGTTTCAGGTTCTGTTTGCTCTGTGCTGTTAAAGCAGCAATACTGTTGGGATATAACTTGCCAGGGTTGCTTTGTACAGCAGGATCAGCAATTCAGCCTCTTCACTGCTGTTTTCCCTTTCCCACCTATCCTGTTTTACTGCTAAGGCCCAGCCGTGTCCTGCCGCGTGCCGTACCGTATATTGCACCGTTGCTGTCTCCGCTGCCCGCGTCCTGGCATTCCAGTTGTATGTTCCGTAAGGGCTCCTGGCACACGTAGATTGTTAAGCGGGGCCTCACGGACCTGCAAGCCAAGGAAATCACACGTCACACAAAGGCTACGTGCCCTGCAAATACAGAGGCTGATATGCCACAACTGGAGGTTTGTTATCAGCGCACTTGATATGTTTTTTATCGCTGAGCCCAAAAAATTACATTAATCTCTAAATAAGTGGTCTCTCACATGCAGCTGAATTTAAGTTATATTTCAATCCATTCAGAGCTCCTACAGACACGACTTGTTGGACTCCTGTAACAAGACTACTGAATAACAACAGCAATTCCTCCAGGAGGGCCAACGGTACCAAACACACATTTCAGAGAGAATCAGACATCCCCTGGGATGCTCCCTGTGTTAGCAGACAATACCTGTAACCTCCAAGGACCTCAATTTGTTCTTAGCTCCCCAAATGACCAGTTTTGTGGCTTGCCAATAAATCCATCCATATCCAAGAAGCTGGCAGGGCCCAACTGCATTGGTGCAGCCTTACAGCCCAGCTGCACCTCACCTGGGCCTGCCCTGGAGATGTGCACAGGAGGAGAGTTTTAAACATACTGCTGCCAAGTCCTGAGGCAGATGACACAGGCACCAAGGCCCATCCTGACACTAACTGCCCAAATGTCCCAGTTCTAGAATCCCCCACCTAAACCCACTCAGCCTCACAGTCAGCACATCACCTGGATTTCAGTGCATTATACAGCCGAATTCCATCGGCTGGACCACAGATTTGTACCAGATCTTCTCTTGTCAGCTTTAATAAATCAGCACCTGGACAAACACAGGATTTAATGAAGATTACTGTAGCACATCAGTTTTTTCTAAAATAAATTGTAGGTTCCTTTAAACTAAGAGTAACAAACTTCACCATGTCCAAAATGGAATTTTACAGGAATAAGTAAAATTCAGACCAGGCTCTAGTGAGTGCTATATAAATCAACCTGTTTTCCAAAAGTGGTGAGTTACAGTTTACGGGGTTTACATCTTTGAAACAGTACGAGTCTGCAAGGCACACAACTTCTGTGGAGAGAGATGACTGTTCTAGAGACAAACACTGATTTTTGCTGGCACCCATGGTAGTGTATTCTGAACACATGCAAAATACAGAGCAAAAATATTCCACGGTTTGTCACACAGTGAATTACCCCAGACATTCAACTACCCATCCATCTCTTCCTCTGTGCACTTAAGTTGTAACAATGCACTTGTGTATAGAAGGTGCTGCTGAAGCAAAAAATGGGAAGATAGATTCTTCTGAGAAGCAGCATGAGTGTCAGCAAAGAAAACAACACTCCAAAATATCAGTCACTGTAACAGATGAGTGGGAAAACAGGAAAAAAAAATAGTCTTTATGCATGAAAATACCCCACAGACTATTCAGGAATGCACAAATAAAAGCCAGCAAAGATTGATCATAGCCCTTAAATACTATAGCAAAAAAAAAAAAACCCCTGACCTGAGATAGTATAATAAAAGTCACATATACCACACCTCTTGCTTCAAAAAAAATGCCAGCCAGCTAGTACTTGACTTTTATAAAGATAATAATGAAAAAGAAAAAGTTTTCCAAGAGTCTTTGTCAGAAATTTGGCACTAAAGTTTATTGAGAAAGCTCAGCAACCCTCATACAAGAAGCACAGGTCAAAAACTAACCAGCAGCAGAATAAACCTTCCCAGAAAAAAAGCCTGGTACAAAGGGAATCCTGACAAAAGCATGAGCTAAGCCGAGAGGCAGAGAGCTGGCATCATTCACAACACTGTCCCCAGCAAGTGTCACCAAAGAAAAAGGAATTTACTTTTGGTGAATACTGTGTCATGCCACCCTTTGCACAATTCTATGGAAGACTGAAGAAGTAAACAGCAAAACAGCCCCACACAGTCCATCTATTGCCATGTCTTGTGGCCATATAGTGGGAACTGCACGGCTCTTTAACCAGCAAATTAGTAAATAAATATGCATAAATATGTATACTATAATGCTCTTAGAGAACTCTTTTCCCACACAGAACCTGTTCGGTAACACAAAGAAAGAAAAAAAGTAAACTATAGATACCTGAGAAATTTGAAAAAAGCCTTGTATAGGCAGAGAACCTATTCTTGAGCAACCATTGCTGAGTTTCCTGGATTGTGGCTGAAGGATGAAGCTGCTGTAAGAAATGAGATTGGATATGATAATTTGGACACTAAAAAACCCAAACAAAACCCAAGCAATTAAAAAAAATCTCCCTCAGTTCAATAATTTCTTAGGACCTATTAGCATCAAGTGTAAATCAAATATTCTGACACAGCTATACAAATACACTTATGATCAATACCAGAAAGCAAATACTCACATCTCCTGATCCTTGAGAGGTTCCATCTCCTTGATGATTTGGGGAGGAAGAATTGCTACAGGTTAAAAAACAAACCCAAGTATTACTAGAATTCTATAAACCAACATATTTAAGCATTGTTGAAAATTAACTTGAAATTTTCAAAACAATAGGTACTGCAGTTGAAGCAATTAGAAGATTGCAACTTGTTAAACTTAAGGGAAAGAGCATTCCACAGTCTATGGATCAGACCACACCACTGTCAATTATTTTTGGATGAAGTGCAGGTTTGGTTACAGTAGATTAATTAACGCCTCAATACAAAATGTTTTCACCAATGCAATTTTTGTTTAAAGCTTTTGAAAATATTTGTTGGGGCTTTTTCTTGCAAATTATACTAACTGTGTATGATGGAAATGAAGACTGTTGTTACTGAAAAAAGCTAAAAATAATTTCCATAGACAAGGACAAAATCACAATAGTGAAAAGGTAAAGAATTTGCTATATGACAAAGGACAAGAAGTTGTTTTAAAGAATGCATAGTAAGAAAGAAAGGTGGTGAGGCAGAAGTAATTACATTATAACTGAACCATGTGATACAAATGCCATACTCTAAAATGGATATATAGGTCAAAACAATCTCCCAGTTCCCCTGTAGAAACAGAACACAGTTGAATTTACTCAGAAAACATTTTGAATAAACCTGATTAAAAATGTTGCCTTTAATGGGGATACAGAATAGAAACCTACCTGTCTGGGACACTGTAGGTGTTATGCTGAGCAGAAGTGAAAGCTGGAGCAGGAGTAGGACTGTTGTTTACAAATGTTGTAGGAGTATCAGGCCATGGTGAGCACTGAGGATAAAGAATTAAAACTTAAGTTTCTCTTGATAATATATTCTTTTCTCTGATGCACACTTCTGTCATTTAAAGCCAGGGCTTTATCCACAGAGTATTCTGATTTGCACTCCCAAATGAAGACTCCCTCTATCCCACATATTACATGCAGATATTCCAGGTAAAAATCAGTTCTGTTTTATCTTGCTCTTTTATGAAGCCTTCTATTTATACTATCTTCTCTTTTAAAAAATGAAGGTATTATTGGTGAAAGTGACAAAAGACCTGTACAGATTATTCAGTTTAAATGAAAAATGACCAACCCCCAGCCACCTGCTGGGAAAAGTCTTTTATCCTGCACAGGATGAAAGGGCTGTTTAAACTGCAGGGATAATGACACGACAAAAAGTGTTCTGTAATAGTAAGTAAAGCTGTGAAGCTAGATTGCACCTTATGGATAAATTTTATGTCTCTGCCCTGAGAGCAATCAAATACAAGCAGAATTTTCAGAGGAAATTTTGTGAATTCAGACTTTTTAATAACTTACTGCAGGACTAAAATTATGCTTACTTACATGAACTGATTTTTCTGAACTGCTTGGCAAACTGGAATTTTTTAAACAAGTTTAAGTCATCACAAATATATGATAAGCCAGCTGTCCAATACTGTCAGTCTTTTTTGGGTATTATTAAAAATTGTCGTGATAAAGCTTTTAGAAACAAGGCTACCTTTTAGTGCTTCCAACAAAAAAATTTCCAGATTTATATCACAGCCTTGTAGAACAGGCTGGGGGGCAACAACTATGACTTAATACCACTGGAAACTTGTTTCAACAATTTTGTGTTGAATAATCCTTCCTCTTTCTGAGGGAAAGAGTAAATAAGGGAAGCCGCCACCTTCTGTAAGTAAGTTAGCAACATTTCTGTGCTGGATCCCAGTCCTCACTTGTCAGCAGAAGATGGCAAGTTCCTCAGCCAAGTTCCTCAGCATGGCACATAGAATTAAAATTCATTTATCTTGCATGCAAATAGCTTAAAAATGAGGAACTTTCTTTATCTCTCTGAGATTTGACTCAAACCAGCATTTTTGTTAGCCACAGCATGCACAGTCTTTGATTACATAATCAAAGCCATCCTTTTGGGCTACAGTGTCCCCACACATTCCTCCTCCAAATCTATATATTCCCACCTGTTGTCTCTCTTCTCAAACTCATTTAATGTTAACCTCGAAGACATTACATCAGTTACAACTAGCCTTCATTCCCTAAATATGTGATCCAAATCTTTCATTTTAGAAGGAAAGCTCGACATAGAAACATTAACTTGGTTCTTCTGAAATACTCGAAAGTGCACATAAAACTCTTTAATTTTGTGACATTCTCTTCCTAAATTTTAATGCAAGATGTTTATGTGGACACACAGATGCAAGTTTCACATCCTTGGCTATCATTCCCATACAAGATTCTAGCCACCATATATTTAAATTTGGGGGCAGAGAAGAATGGTGCCAGAGAACACCTTTTGAACCATTCCCATCCCAAGGTAGGTACTGCAGTTGGTGTTTCTGTCCTTCAAACCCAGCTGAAGTTCCTCACAACGAAGCTCTGGGTTCCAGGAAGAAGCACATTTGAAGTATTCAGAAAAATAAAATCTCAACCCAAAGCAAGTAGCCTTTCTTCTACCATAAACATGTTTTCCTGCCTTATCTCCTATTCCAGCTAGAACACCACTAACTATCCAGTGAGACTCAATAGTCTGGTTAAAAAGAAAAAAATAAATAGGAAGTGTACCACTGCAACACATCTATTATCTGTTTTCCTTGTTTCTGCCTTACAGGTTGGGGAGGGAAAAATGGGTATTTGAGCACGGAGGTACTTAATTCTGAAAGGTTCAAGGAACAAAAAAGTCTTCCAGCAATTAACCCAAGCTGATTATGCTTTTGGAATCACTCTCATGCACAAATGTCCTGCACTTCACAAACTGCATCAAGCAAATGCCTGGCCACCAAATCCATTAACACTACAAAGACTAAACAAGGATGTGTTTTCTAACATCCTGCATGATGATTCTGGGTTGAGGGGGGTGAGGGGTACAAGGGGAAAGGATCACAGAAAGTGGCACTGTTGCCCTGAAAACACACCTGCCATTATCATTTGCAGGGACAGAACACTGGACTTCATCCTTGTGGACTGATCAATCAGGATATTTCATACATTCCTAAGCCAAAACTGAGGACAAACCAAAGAACATTCAGGAAGCTAATTATACTAATACGTAAGTCCCTGACCAGTAGACACAAACCTAGGAGAAAATGTCACTCTGTCACAAGGAAGCATTCAATTCTGTAAAAAGCCATCACAGAACAGAAAGAAGATTGACATGATATTTTTACTGGTAATAAATAATTAATATATACTGATGCATTTACCAAGATCCTGTTTTTGAGATGTCAAGATTAAATGTCCTCTATTACTAGCACACTGATACAATGCTACTGATACTACTATACTCCAGAAACTATGTCTTATTTCCAAATGTGGATTAATTCAGAAGGAGAAAACTGTTTTGGTTTCAGATGTTTACCAGCCTTCTGTAAAAGGCCTTGAATTAAGTTTTACTGAGTTAAAAAGAAATGTAAAAGATCTAAGTATGATTTATCAGATTTAGGATATATAGCATTTAAACTCAAAACATTCCTAACTGCAGAGGAATTGCAAAATCTCAAGTAATTCTAAGTCATGGTTTAATGTAATGTCCCTTTCTACCTCAAATATACTGGAATCTGCCCAAATTCATGCCTTAAGAGAATAAAGCTGAACCTTGGCAAAGAACTCCATACCATATTCAAAGACCAAATAAACATGAAAGCAAAATACAAAACCAAATTACAGTAAGTCTAATTTGTTCTCCAATTTAGACTTGATATATCCTTGGGCACACAGCACCTTCTTAGAGGATAAACTATCAATGGTATGATAGTTCTTATGGTATGGAGCTTTTTCCATCTTTCATGTCTACAACTTACTGTTCCAATTTATTTTAAGGTCTATACCTGCAAATCTTTTAACTTGCATGTGCTCTATAATCAGCTCTATCTGCAAAAAATGACCATTTGACCAACTTTAATCTGTTTGTAGTTTATATAATCTAGCTTGTGACACATGAAACACACTACTATAAAAATCAACCAAAATACCGCAGACAGAAAAAAGTGCAAAGGCCCAACTACTACAGCCCAAATTTTCCTGCTTTTACAAATTCAAAGCGAGGGAAAGAAACTGGTGGTGTTTTTTTCTCTTTTCCATTAGATAAGAATTAACCTTTATATACAAAGAGAGAGAGAAAAACAAAGTTCCTCCTTCATAAAGTGCCCCCTGATTGAAGGTCACATGTATGTAAACATCCACTCTGAGGTCCAGAAGGCAAGGTTAAATTTGCAGCCTTTTATATCTACAGAAGAAGTTGATGCTTCACAGCATGAAGAGCCTAACAAACTGCTTAACTGTGTCCTGTCAGTTTGGACAATACTGAGATAAACACTGCAGAAACTACAGTGAATGCACTGAATTTTGATACATCAGGTGAATTCAGAGAAGTAATGGAAAAGCTTATCTAGATGGCATTCTTATGAAAATAAGTGATATGGGAAAGATGGGTGATGGCAGGAAAAGAAAAACCCCTGGTTCTTTGAAAGGACAGAAGAGCGGAGCAGAGCTATTCAGAAAAGAAGCTTCGCCAAATTCCTTATATTACGTTAGAAAGACATTATGAATTAAATTGGAAAGAAAACATACTAGATTCAATGTTTTCTGAAGAAAGCATAGTAAAAAAACATTCTGTCCAAATCCAATTGTGACTGAGCTGAAAATAATCACATAGGAGAAAAAAAAATAAAATAATAATATCTAACAAACTGAACAGCAGAATCTTGGAGGGGTAAAATAAAAAAACCCAACATACAAAATGAGATCCAAGAAGCAAGTAATGAAAGGTTAGGTTAGGTGTAGCAGGAAGATAAGAATTCACAGCTTTAAAAACAAAGAATTATAGATTGGATCAACATTAATTTCTGGAATTCAAGAAAAGGTAACAGACTATTATTTCTGGGCAACTAGTAAGTGGCACTGACTAAGGAACAGTCAGCAGTCTTGACTGCATCTAGTGAAAATACATTCCAAACAATTCTGGTTTGGATTTTTTAAAAGAGCTACAGTTCCTCTGAACATGTGAAGTAAAAAGATCCATCCTATAGAAACACATAACATGTGAAAGACTGTCCATCTCAAATGTAGGGTAACAGGTCTTCACTTTTTGTGTCTTAGCACCTTTGTGAAAACAGTACCACACATATAGAACACTTGATCTGCATGTCTGAGGGAAGTCTGGAACAGCCAAAGCTTCTGATGGCCACGTTTGGGAAAACAGATTTGCAAGGACAGAATTGCTTTAAGTAGAAATATTTATCATCCCTGTCTATATTTACAGGGCCAACAAAAATAACTCTGTCTGGTGACAAGTGAAAGAGGTCCATGAATTTGCCTTCAAAATGTTTATCACTGTTTTTCTGCATCAAGCAAACAAGTTTTACATTCAACTTCTATAGCTAAAAATGATACTGAGTGCACATCTACAACCAAGGCTTTACTATGAATACAGAAAAAAATAGTGTTTCTTGGTATTTTTATGGGCTTTGTGATTTCTAATTATTTTGCTAGTGATGAAAATCACTGTAATGATGGAAATACCATATGCTGAAATCTGCAAACAATACCAAGTTAGCAAGGCTGAAAAGATTTTATCTGGTGTGGATAAAATTCAAAATGGCCTCAACGAACGATTTTGAACAGTGAAACTATCTCAAGACAGCATTGTATTAGAGGCAAATGAGAAACAGGAATAGTGAGCTGCACGATAAAGAGAACTGGAAAGCTGTACACAGCTGCTATTCAAAACAGGCTGTGGGTCGTTATCCTTTGTGTGCTTTGGGAAAGACATCAGAAGTCCAGAACTGTCCTATCTAAGGTCTTCTTCACTACAATTAAGGTAATTCATAGAAGCTTACTATTCCAAGGGATTGTTAAGGAAAGGTTATATAACTTCAACGTATGGTTTAGTTACAGTTCGTCTTACTGTGGACAATGGATTTATCTTGTCTGCTTAAAAATACCTTTCTCTATTATTCCTATAAGCAACAATCATTCAATGAGATACTTCTAACAGCAGGAGAAGAGAAAAACACAGAAATCCCTCCAAGGACAAGCTTCAAAAGATGCCTTATAAGCAAAAGTGATAGTCTGTTTTCTCCTGCCTCTCCCCCAGGGCCAGCTGGAACAACTAAAATAATGCACTGCCAAAGAATCATAAAGGTGCACCTTAAAAGAAAGAACAAAAACCAAAAAACCAACAGCCAAAACCAGAAGATTAATTCAGACAGCTCAGTGCATACAGTAGTTTTGAGTGCCCAAAACAAAACATCCAAACATCCTCCAAAGAACCCATCTGACTAATACTGCTTGTTCCTTCCCACCATGGGTTATAAACAACAAGAGGTATACACTGAAGTATTTTATAACCTAAATATAAAACCTTATACATCACTTTCACAGATCATAAATACGAACCAAATTATGCTTGAGGGACAGGAGTCAGACAGTCATTGCTTAAGCACTGCTAGGAAAGCACTTCAGCACAGTATGCCTGTTCAAAGAAGAGTCAAATAATGGCCTTCCACAGTCACATTATTAACTGACATTTAAACTTGCCAAATAAAAGTTGTGGAATTGTTTCTCTTTAAGGAACAGCATTTAAGAAATCCAAAATGCGAACCCTTGGCAAGATGACTGCACAGGACATATGTCAGGGAGGGCACAGGATATATGTCAGGTTCCCTCTGAGGTGCACAGATAGGGTTAACATAATACAGATCATGAAGATGAGCTGACTTCTGAACTGCATTAAACCTGCTTGGAGCACAATAGGTAGATGGCTAAAGGAAAAATCACTAACAACCACCTGCAACATGACATAGCTTTGAAAAAATACTGATGTACATGAAAACTTCTACTGAATATAAGTACAAATAGGAACAAACCACTAAATTTCACTATTCTTACTTCCACTGATGACACATGTATAGCAAAGCAAAATGCTACTTCATTTAAAGTCATATAAACTGGAAGTTCTTGACTCAAGTTACACAGTCCCTCTGCAACAGTTTAAGTGTTAGATTTAGGAAGGATTCCTTTGCTGAAAACAAACATGGAGCAATTGGGATACGTGGAAGTGAATAAAATTAAGACACAGCAATAAAAGTATTTTTACTTTATATAGTGGAAGTTTCTCCTATATCTAACACTGCACAAGGTATCTTGCATAATCAAAAGGTAAGCAGAAGTCCCTTACACTGCCTCGCTTTGCCAGAGAATCACCGTAGTCTGCTGGCAAAGTCCGCTTGCTGGACTTTTTCTGCTCATGTTCAACTGCATCTTCAATTATAGGCTCAAGCCTCATCTGGACAAACACCAAAGATGTGGATCAATTTCTTTTCATTAAACAGTGAGGAAAGATCTAAAAGCCTTTTAAAAACTTCTGAAATATTTAGAAAACTGCACAGAACTCACTGATGTTTAAATAAAAAACCTAATGAGGCTCTGGCCTTAAATTCAGTAATATCTGATAGACCTTGAAGCTCAAATTTGGTAAATACACTTTAGGAGTACCCCCCTCATTTTTTCACTTTTTTTTTTTTGCTTTTCAGATGTAAGATTTTTAAATCTTTATTTAAAGTCTTGCTAAAGGGTTCACTACAGTCAGTCAAACAGTGTTCAATCTAAAGTGTGTTTTAATACAGCATCTACTGAATATCTAAATCCAAGTTTACTGAACAAAATCTTAAAACTGAATGTTGCTGCTTGCTGGACAAGTTTTTCAAATAAATAGTTTATCTCTATGCAGAACTAATTCTTCTCCAACCCTTCCAGGATTGCAGCTAAGTAATGTGCTGTATCTATGTATATTCTCCTCAGTCAGCAGATGCAATTTTATTTTGTTACCTCTGTAAGAACTGTGGTGTCATATGAAGGCTGATACTTCTCTTTTTCATGTGCAGTTCGCTTTTCCATCTTTTCTCTGTCTGTTTTCTGTTTTCTGTCTGCTCCTTTGGGCTAAAAATGAACAGTTATGTGAACATGAACACAGGTGGAAAATGGTTCTATAACTGAAATCTGATCTCAGACATGAACCGTTACAAGCAGCAATATAACGATTTCCCATATCTTTATAAAAACTTAGAGACTGCAGTAACTGTTTTCTAATGTTACCTTAAAAACTTTGATTTGACAACTGGCTGAATGCAGATGATCTGTATATTCTCCATTTTCAGTCTGTTTAAAGGTGTCAACCTGAATCCTAAAAGGAACTCCTTTTTCTCCTCCATGTTTACGAGGGGTAAATTCAGTGCTGATACAATGTACCTGAAAATAAACAATAACCAAACAAAAAGGACCCTCAGAAGCATTTCAGGCTTGAACTTAATTATGTTACCTACATACATCACATGAACAGTTTACTGTAAAAAAATATAGCAAAGCTATAAAAGATCACTGACTGGAAGAGTTTTCATCTCATGCACCCACATTTCAGAGTATTTTCAAATATGCTCAACTCCTTTAAAAATCCATAGATCTTTTAATCAGTGTGAAATCACTTCAGCTGCTACATCAGAATTAACATTGTGTTTATAAGCTATAAAGACCCCTTAAGGGTATCTAAGAAGAAAATCAGTGCAATAGGAGAAATTATGAACAATCTCACTGGACAGTGTTCCCAGTTTTCTTTTGCTTCCGTATGGAATTTTAAGCAAGCCTTTAGAACAACTGAACTGTACTGGCATAATATCAGTTCCATTTTCAGTCTGTTATCATTTCTTCTAAGGAAATGCATAAACAAAACTGTTCCATAATTTATCTCACAGTTCTTCTAGAAGACTACATTTTAGCAATTATGTAACTCTTACTAAAAAAAAGTATCTTTTACTGTACTAGATCGAAGTTAATTTACTGATAATAGAGAATTTAACCTATTTTGACAGCCAGAGTAAGAAACATTGCAACCTGAAACTTTACAGCTATACTTGTTTATAACGAAATCAGATCTGAGACAAAAGTAAGCAATGTGAATATGAACATTCCATCTAAATAATTTCCAAAGAAAGCATGCTGAGTTGCCCTGAATATCAAATACACAAATAATAGAATTCCTACAAGAAAACCTACTGGCATTGTAAGAAACAACTTTTGAGTGTCTGATTTAAAACCCTTTTCTTGTAGGAAAATACTTTTAATTTTGAATCCTTAAGCCAAGCTTCTGCTGAAAGCAGTAGTAAGAGCTATTGAGAGGAATGTAATTTAATTCTTAAATTTCATACAACTAAATATTTTAACCCTGACAGTTTTCTTCAAAGAGCTTTTCGAAAAATTTTATTTAAATTTTTCTATAAACCCAAATTAAATAGAAAAACCTTACGAGGAGCTCTATTAGACCTATGAACTGGTGTTTTTTCACCAAGATGGTATTTAATGGCCATCCCACAAATAATAAACCAAGAAGCTTTGTAGTTCAAGCATACTGCTGTTTGTGACCTGAAAGGCACCAAACACAGACATCCAGTCAAATAAAGTTTCAAACCTGAATAAAAGCAGATGTACATTTTGTTGGATCCCATAAAAATTCAACTGCGTTGAGCTGGCTTGGATTTGTCTTGATATCAATGACTCCAACAGACATTGGAATATCTATTGAAATAAGTAGCATATATTTCAGAACAATCATACAGCAAGTAAATACTATAAATAAATTGTAATATAAGGTTACCATCAGCATACACAAGGTGAGGTGGAAAATGCTGGCTTTGGCGACTTGACCAGCTTCTTAGGACTGATACAAAGAATCTTAGTAGATTCAACATACAAAGTGCTCAAGGTTTTGGGTGTTGTTTTCATCCTCCTTCCCTGCTGCCACCCCTGAGGTCATGCACCAAAAATGACCAAGTTATGCAAAGTACAGAAACCATGTTGGCAGCATTTTCACAATCTAATAGAGAAAGTTACTTCTGTCTGTGTTCTCCTAATCACTGCAACACTTCACAATCAAAATTAGAAAGACTATTAAGTTAAATGCAGAGTTGCTACCTTACTTTTATAGCACTTAAAAGTTTGCAAAGAATGTGGAAGTGATAAGAACATTTATATTCAAAACACAGAGCAAGACAAAGCAGCATCCAGAAATCTGGTCTGTCCTTTTTCATGAACCTCAACCTAAGTGTGAACATGATCAATTTAAATTTGGCAACTGAATTCCATACAGTGGCAACAACCAGAAACAATTATACCTAAGTCGAGCAGTCTGTCCCCAGGGCGGTTCCACTTCCAGCCCTCTAGCTGCTGGTGCTCTGTGTACTGCAACCTTCTGTCATGGAACACAACTCTTATAATGCTCTAACAAAGAAGAAAACAAGCCTGTGATGAGCCACAGATTCACTACACATTTAGAAACAGCCTAAAGATAAAGTAATAAAACACCCCAAAATAGTCACAGTGCTAATAAATACATATTTACAGCAAAAATTTGGCAAGCATCAGTATCCCAAAATATTCCAGAACACAGAAATAGAACTGAGCAGCAGGAGATATCTGAAAATGTGGTAAAAATACAAAGGAGAGTTACATCTGATTGGATACTCTAAAGGTCACTGTCAATTACACAGAGTGAACTGAGCAACAGTGGCAGCACAGTATCAACACTATGCAGGCAACACCAAATTATTTTAGAAAGCAAACGCCAAAGATTTCATTTCTTATGAAAAGTGGTGACTTTGAATGGTCAGGTGGTTACTTGACCATTCCTCCACTGGGAATTCTGTGAACTTCTGTAGGACATTTTAAGAAATAAAATAGGAAATTCCTTTCCTAGTTCTTATAAGATATTTACAAAAAAATCTATGATTTTACTTAACAGAATTAAAAAGTTCCAAACTTTCTCAACCACATGAAATATTCATCCAGAATAATTATAACATGATTAACTTTATTCAGCTAGAAGCCATTATCTAACAACACTTATTTTTGTGGGCAGTTTTGGCACTACTAAATGAATGCATATAAAAAGCAATTTGTTACAACAAAAACACTTTGTTTTCCAGAGACTGGAAAAAAAACTGTACACATTGATTGTTACCCAACAAATATAATGTAGACAGATTTGCATACTTTTTTTTACCTTATTCTACAGTCCTCCTTGAATTAACAACAACTAAAAGTGTCCACAAAATCCAGACTTGGCAATATCTGCAGCCACCTTCACCTCCATTAAATGGTTTCTTTGGTAAAATACTGGGATTCCAATATTTAATTGTCCCAAATGGAAAATTCATTGATGCAGCATTACATGGTAATTCCTTGCTATGGTAAAATTGACTTTTTCAAACTTTTACCCTGCTTTTCCGTGTTGTAACTTCCAAATGACTCATCACCCACATACAAACCTAGAAAATTATGGAAGAGAGACACCTCAAGCCTACAAGAAAATAGCACCTAAGGGGGCAAAAAGTCCATATGCTTATCACAGCAGATCACCATGCCAGATTGTAAAAAGTTTAATTACAGAACTCTCAAATCCCACTTTTATGCTCGTGCTTAACTCCTCCTGAAATGATCTCTGAACAAGCATTCCACAGACAAATAAGAACAAAGCCTAGGACTATACAAGCAAGCCAAAGTTCACGAATTACACACCCCAAAGCTGGCAGGTAAAGATTCAGCCTCCCACAGGCACACTGCTCTGGTGCATTTATCAGCACCACTTTCAAAGTGACTTTAATTGACATTTTTCCCTTCTTTCCTAATACCTGAATAAGATTTTTTTTGAGAATTCAATAGAATCAATAATCATCAAGTGCTTAGAAGAAAGATCCAAACCCCTCCATCAGTTCTTCTAATCATCTGTACTCCAAATTGGGTAATTTTTCAGTTTGCCTCATTTTCATGCTTCATATAATACCTCAGATCAACAATACTTTGTACTAACATTGAAGTACAATAAACTTCTCAACAAGCAACAAATTAGAGATCCATTTTCCTATGGATGTATCTCTAATATCCCACTGCTGCAAAACCCACAGGCTGGCTTCATGTGTTTTCTATAACACTTGAGAAACACGCTTGCAATACCTCCACTTCTATCTAAATGATCCTCTACCTTCCTCTCACCTCTCCTAATCACTTGAAATGGGCAGTGTGCTGGATCAGAAGATACTGGATACAAAATCTACAGACATTGGATACAAATATCTACAGACACTGGATACAAAATCTACAGACAACTATCTTAAGCTCTGCATAAATACTTAGGTCTTCAGTGCACACAAATGTGTATTGGGTACTTATATCCATACACTTTTATTTGTAAACCATCACTGGTCTACATATTCTGACCAATACCTAGTGACAGCAGAAGGAAAAAAAAAATCAATAAAATATACAGTTTCTGGCTCATTAGTAACACTATCTAGTGAACTTAAATTCACCTTCACCAGTTTTCCATTGATCTCTGGTATGTCTCCAGCTTTCCGATTATCTAGCATCCGGATCTCATAGGACTGACCTTTAAAGAGAAAAAAACCGCATGGGTAAAAGAGTAAGAGCACAAGGCTATTTTGTGTTTAATGCATTTAGATTAGCTTTTGGTTCACAGTACACTAGAATACCAGTACCTGAAACCTGAGTTTGAGAGATCCAGATAGCAACGTGCACTTCACAGCATGCAAATTAACAAAACAAAGTGACACTTTTTGGTCCCCTTCAAACTAGAGATATTTTCAAAGTTTAATTATTTCATTCTGTGCCAAGTGTAAGCACTTGCCTATTTTTTTTGCTAAAAAAAAAAAAAAAAAAAATTTCAAGGCCGAATTCCTTTCTTTTTTTAAAACTGCTGAATGGCAACATACTAAGAACCACTGTCTTCCCAAACAAACTCTTGCAGAGTTTTCATACTTTTTTCAAAACATAAATACTGTTCTCCCATATTTAATTTTGCCCTTATACCTGCTGCCTTTGTATGATTTTTATGCTTTCTATGATTTCAGAAATAGACCTTTAAAAGAGACAGTTACTGCTTACATTAACAGTATGAGAAAACCTCTTTTCCAGTGAATATAAGCTTTTGTGCTGCAAAAAGCAAAGCTTACAGCAATTTATTTAATTAGAAGGATTTTCTTTCCTTCCAGAGTGAGCAGCACATATTCCTTTGCAAAATCGCATTTCCCTAGCTAAAACATAGGACAAAATAAATTTCAACATCTTCACTAAGATGAAATGCAGTAAAATCATCACCTACAATGCCCTTCAGGCTACCTTTATGGTGCAGTGTATAACACATTTAAGACATTCTGACTTGCCCTACAAGGCAGTAACCCTGTGGATGAGCAAATGATTTCTTCATCTCATTTCACTTTTCAGACTGATGTTACTTCCAACTGTGGGCTGTTTCAGGGGGGGTTTTGCCTCAAACACAATGAGCATATTTATGTACATACTCTACACATGTAAAGGCTTTCTTTACCCAAGCAACACGTGAACATTGATACACTCATTGATGACACAAATCCATATGAAATAAACGTTCACTTAGTGCAGCTGAGTAAACAATATATAATTTTTCTTCCTATATTTAACAGGAGGAAACTTTTCCTGTTAGTGTGATTCATTCAATTACCAGTTATTCTATTCATATAGATATACTGTGTAAGTTCAACTATATTTAAAGTCTGCATTTTTTAGCTCTAGTAATATTAATACACTTTCTCAAGTATTTCTCTGTTCTCTTGAAACATTCTTTTTGAGGGTAACGAGGTGAGTAAAGAAAAAATTCTGATTGTTCCTTCAAGAAGTGTGGCTAACCTTTCATAGGTACAAAATAGTATTAAGACAAAAGATTTGATAAAGGTAAAAATGAAAGAATACGCGACTTGAAAACGTAAAATCATCTCCTGAAATTTTCAAGACAGAGGTACAGATAAATTCAATTTTGGAGTTTTGGACATTAGCTGCTCTGAAAGTGTGAAAAGCACCACAGTGCTGTTTTTTGTCATCTCTACATGAGAACTATATACACTACTTTCTCTATTCTTTCCAGGAGAACAGCCAGAGGAGCAAGGTGACACAGGCTATGGACAGTAACTGCCCCCTGCTTCGCAATGAATCTATGGTAGCTTCGTTCACAAAAATCCCAGAATATTCAGGTTTAGAAGGGACTTTTGGAGGTCATCCTGGACAATTCCCTTGCTCAAGGCAAGGGCACCTACAGCCCATTGCCCAGCACTAAGCCTGGCTGGTTCTGAGTATCTCAAAGGATGCTCATCCAGACCATACTTCATAAGCTTCTCTGTAAAGACCTCACAGGAGAAACCAGCAAAAGCCTTACTGAAGGAAATAACTTGTAAACAATATCTACTACCCTCTCCTTGTCTACCAAGCCATGCAGTTCAGCATAGACATTTATCAAGCTGGTCAAGCATGATACCCCTTTGGGAAATCTGTGCTGACCATTCCTGATGATGATCTTGTCGTTTATGTACCAATGTACGTAATGGTTACCAGGACACACTGCTCCATCAGGAAGCCTGTGGTTCCCTGGGTCTTCCTTTTTGAAGATCAGAGCAACATTGGCTTGCATGTAGTCTCTAGCACCTCTCCTAGTCACCAGGATCATTCAAAGACTATCAAGGTGGCCTCTCACAGTGACACAGGCCACTGTCCTCAGCACTTGTGGGTGCATCCCATTAGGACCCATTGATTTATGCCTGTTCAGTTTGCTTAAGTATTCCCTGACCTGTTCTTCTTCCACCAAAGGTAGATATTCCTTGCTTCAGACCTTCCCCTCATCTCTAAGGCCTGGGATTCCTAAAGACCAGTGATACCAGAAAAGAGTGAGCCCAAGAAAGCATTCAATACTCCAGCCTTTTCTGCGTCCCGTGTCAGCACGGTCAATGTCCTGTTCAGCAGGGGGCCCACTTTCAACTGTCTTCCTCTAGCCATTTATGTACTTACACAAGACAATTTTGCTTTTGACATTCCTCACCAGATTCAGTTCCAGCTGGACTTTGGCTTTTCTGATTGCATCCCTGCAAGCTTGGACAGTATCTCTGTACTCCTCTCAGGCTACCTATCTCATCTTCCACATTCTGTATGCCTATCTTTTGTATTTGAGTTCCCTTGCTTACCCATGCAAGCCTCCTGACATTTTCGCCTGACTTCCTGTTCATTGGGATTCACTGCACTTATGTCTGGAGGAGCTGATCCTTGAATGTTCACCAGCTATCTTGGGCCCCGCTTCCTTCCAGAGCTTTATCCCATGGGACCTACTCTACTGAAGTTCAAAGATGCGATCTTGGTCTTCTGCCTTGCACCTTCCTCTCAGGATCATGAAAGCTCACCATCTTGAAAGCAAACAAGCCTGGCAGACTTGTTACCCCAATGAGCCCTTCCCTGTTTAGTGAAGTACAGAAGAGCTATCCTCTAGATCACTTGCGTTAGGAAGTCGGCAACCAGCACAACCGGTAACTTCCTGTGTTGCTCATGCCCTGCTGCGCTGTCCTTGCAGGAGACATCAGGGTGCCTGAGGTCCTCCTACAAGGATCACAGCCTGTGAATGTGAGGCTACTTCCAGCTCTTCAAAAAAACATCTCATCTACTTGTTCTTTCTGGTCAGGTGGCCTACAGCAGACACCCACCAAAATGTCATCCATATAACATAATCCATTCATAATCCTTACCCATAAGTTCTCAATTGGAACATCACCCATCCCCAGGCAGAGCCCCAGACATTCCAGCTGTTTTCTCACGTTATGCTTAACCTCCCCTTCCTTATCCTCTTGTTCTGCCTTTCCTTAAGAGCCAATATCCCCACTGTAACAAGCCATCCCACTTTGCAAGCCATCCCATCGTGTCTCCCTGATCCCAAGATCTGAACTTCCAGAATCAGCTTCAGCTGAACATCTAATCATACAATATCTCAAGCTGGAAGGAAAACACAGGAATTTAGTACAACACCCTGCTCCTTACAGGGCTACCAAAATCTCAATCACATGACTAAGAACATCAGCCAGATGCTCCCTGAAGTTTGAGTGATACTCTTAACTATACTAATTAAAATACTTACTGACAGAGGGCAAAGCCAGGTCTTGTGTAAGTATTGCCTTAGGGAATGTCACCACAACATAACAAACAGGGCAAATGTTCCCACTGCTTCTGATATTCCCAAACCAGGAAACTAGAACAACTGCTGACAAAATTCAAGAGGGTACTTCCTCTTTAAAATTATTTAAGGCAAGACACTGCCTGAAAATGGGGCCAAACCTGAAACCAGATATCTGAATAGCCAGGATGCAAATTACTCTTTTGCTAGAGGACTCAATCTAAATCATTACACAAATGTACCTATCAGCACAACTCAGTGTTGCAGACTGATCTAATTTTAAGCTGCCTTCAGTATGAAAGAAATAATGTCTCACAATGTTTGTTTTTTTTTATGTATCACAGAATCTTCTGAGTTGGAAGGGACTCAAAAGGATTATAAAGTCCAACTCCAGGCCCTGCAGACAACACCCCAAGAGTCACACCATGTGCCTGAGACCCTTGTCGAAATGCTTTTTGAACTCTGTCAGGCTGGTGCTATGACCACTTCCCTGGGGAGCCTGTTCCAGTGCCCAACCACCACCCTCTGGGTATACACATATGCACACACTAAGAGCTAGTAGAGGAATTTTAATGAAAAAGCCTTGACCTAGGCAGTAAGTGCGCTGTCTTTATGTCTGAAGAACTAGCACAGAAAGGAGACAGACAAACCTTTTCCTTCCCATATTTATTTAAGGAAAGGGTGTACCAATGTCCTCATTCTTCAACATTAGGAAAACTTACCTAGGACACTGAGAATCATCATAACTTCTTTGCCAATTAAATTTTTATATTAAAATTATTATAATAATTATTTATATATCTTAAAATTATTAAGATATTTTCAAGGTCAGATGAAACATTTACAGTCATTTTAGACAGTGTCACTTTAAATCGTAAGTTCTTCTCAGAAGCAAGACTGCAAGCACTTTCTTCCTTCAGCCTGCTGCCTTGTGCTGTCTTCAAATTACAGCACAGTCTATTGAGATTTCAAGTCAAAATCCACAAGGAAAAGAAAGATGAACTAGATACAGGATTGGAGATCCTAGGGCATTAGAGCCAGAGGAGGGGGATGAAATTGTGGGGGGGTATGAAGCCATTTATATGGTCCAAAACAAATGATAAATGAGTTTGAGTTCAGAATATTAGCTGACTGAACTTAGGACACCAATGTAATTCTCAGAGGTGAGGAAAGTTTTATCACACGGCAATGACTACATTCAAATTATTTTAATCCAGCAGTCAGTGCTCTCTCTAAAAAAAAAATAAAAATCAATTTTCATGCAAATTAAAACCCAAGAAAAAGGAAAAAAAACCCCAGCCTAATTCACATGAAGTAATTATCTAGGTAATTTCTGATCAATGTATACAAACGCCAAAGGTAACTGCACTTGTGATCATGTTCAAACATAATACAGTTCTGGACAGACACGTCTGGTTAATTTGAGAGCAAGTACAGTGGTCTCTCTTGTGCAACACCTCAGGGACTGACATTTTAACATTTATTATGACTTCTGAGGGCTGTTTGTGTATACCTCATGCATATATCAAATCAACTTGCTCTCCTCAATCAAATTTAAACAGAAATGCCAAATAAGTCCCAAATTTTCCACTATTACTAACTGAGAAGGGCCAAACACAACAGGAAAAAAAATAAACCAAAACCAAACCAACAAAGGAAGAGACTCCAACCCCACCAGAATCCAAAGAGAAAAGTAACACCATACTACAGCTGTGAGCCTACAAGCTGGACAAAAAAAAGACTACTATTAATGCATCCTTCCAACCTCAAAGTAAACAACCTCATTTCTGACATGCATTTATTTTGTATATACACACATGTATCAAAATCTGAAACACCATTCCAGTTTCAGACTTGCACAAGCTGCATTCACATATGTATACCAACCTTGATTCAAGTATGTGAGAGTTTCATCATATAATTTTACTGCTGGAGATGTTGCAGCACACATAACATACTGGAAAGGTGGATGTTTGGTCTCATTTTCTTGTGGAAGGCTGGAATCTTCCTGTTTGAAAATAGGCAGTGCCAAAACATCACTGAAAAGAAAAAAATAGGTAACTTTGAGACTGTTGGCCCTGTTTTGATTGATGCTATAGAAAAAGTTATTTATGACTTAAAAACAACCCACAGTGAAATACACAGAGAATTTCATTACTTGTTTTATTAGTAAAATCTGTATGAGCAGTATTCAAAATATTTTCCACCAGAACTTTAGGCCAGGATACATGAACAACACCATGGGACTTAAGCAGACAAACAGTTGCACTGATCCTCTAAAAATTTAATCTTTGTTTCCTGTCTTCACTTAAAAATTCAGTTCGCTCTTAACTTTTCACCTGTCAACACAGCCAAACTTGCCTAATAAACATGCAAATGAAAGCCTTCATTTTCTTCTTTGAAATAATGTATTTTCCAAAGTAAATTACCTACACTGTGAAAGTATCTCTCTCCTCATTTAGTCGCATTATACCTGACCTATTAATTCTGTTGACATTGTCAACCTCTTCTTAGGCTTTAGCACAATGATTAGCTCAAAAATGATTAAGCAGCAGATTCACAAAACAAGCTATAAAAAGTTTATGCCAAAATTCACTTCACTTATCTAAGATTCACAATCAACAGAAAAACCCTAGAAATGCCACATTTCTAGAGAAAAAAGAGTAATCCATGTTGTCCACAAGCTGCAGTAAGAAAGACAACTTCACCACAACCAGCAAACACATCTGCTTTCTACAGAAATTAGTAACCTGTATTAGTAATAGATTAATCTTCCTTGTATACAGAAATCCTTCATAAAGTAAACTTCTGAGAGTTTTTCTTGCACTGAATATTTGTTCATGATGAAATCATCTGCATATACATGCAACTTTCTTTAAAAATGTTTCTCAAGTGAATTAAGATCTCACATCACCTCACATGTTTTAGTTTTTATACAACATGCATCTTGTTTGTATCTCTTGCACTTATCACAAACATACATTTAATATATTTTGTAAAAAAAATATAAATGCCTGTATTGCACTACTATTTGTACACGGTATCCTAGAATTTTTGAAGTAAAATGGTTTTATTTACTGTTCCTTATTTCTGCAAGTCTGCTTTATCTAAAGAGAACTCTATTAATTCCTCTTGAATTCCAGCTTATATCTGAAGAATCAAAAAAGTATCATAAATTCAAAAAATGAGATGATAGCCAGTATTTTTGTGTCACATAGGTTAGAAAATCTGGTCTACTTAAGTCTTAGATGTGCAGGTGGGGAACCTCAACTTTTTTTCAGAGCAAGTGCCACGTTCTGTTAGGGATGTCACTCCCTGGGATACCTGCAAGACTTTATACTGAACAAGAAAGTATTTATGATGGGTGAGAAAGTCTAAGAAATTTGTCTAGATGTTTTAGAACCTGTACAATGTCTCCCCCAAGAAAACAGCTAGAATTAAAAAAAAAAAAAGACCAAAAAAGACACCCATACAGGCTCCCTTTCACTAGGAAAAAAACCACTGGAGATGCTACAAAGACTGATGTAAGCAGGACAAGGCAGTACACTGTCAAAAAAAGCATTACAAGCCTACTGAACCATGTCCTAACTACTTCTGATGCCAGCTCCCCAAACTGGAGCCCAGAGAGGACTTAAGTTACAAAGGAAGATGTGAAATAACCATTTAGGAGAAGCGTACATCCTTGAAAGAGTTTATACAGAGACAAGGATCTGTGAGTAGGACAGCAAAATCCATAGATGGGTGAGTGCTCCTTGAGGATGGCTCAGAAGAAGCAAGGAGTGCTTCAAGCCCTCAAGTTATTTTGAGCAGCCCAACACAAGAGGGAGCGCCATGACAAGCAGAGGGAAGCGTGGTCCCAAGACAGGACTGCCACATCAGGAATCCATGCTCACCACACACTTCAGCACTCAAAACACAAATGCTTTTATGAGGAGGAACTTTTAAATGGCTATAACATGGAAGCAATGGCAATGTTTAAAAATACACACATTGAGTCAAAGGGCAACAACCAAGGCATGAAAAGTATCTCACCAAATAAATTGCCTGTAATTCTCGAGTAAGTTCGACAGTACTTTCCTTCACATAACACGCAAGACTAAAGAGAAATCTTTTCTGTATTCATGAAAAATAAGCCTTCATTTTCTAATCACAATTTGAAATTAAAAATGTAGCTGGTCTGGTTTAGGAAAGCGTGATGTGGTTAATGAATTAGTTAAGAGATGTGGCATTGGAAGCCTACAAATACACCAATTTAGGCAGCTTTAAACCAGTTTTTGCTAATACTTACAAAGCATAATGACTAACTGCCACTGCAGAAGAAGGAAAAATAAAGACATCCAACTCTACAAACCTACAATTTAGCTGTAAAGAGAGCATAATGTTCATGCTTATATGCTACCATTCCAAAAAATATTCCAGAAGACAGCACAAGGCAAATTTTTCTTATAAAACTCTTCTGAGTACTAATACATTCCAAAGGAAAAGACAAGACAATGTAATGTAAACTCCTTCCTAGAGTATCTTTAAATAAATACCATTTAAGTGACATTTTGATTCATTCACTTGCAAAGAATGATGTTTTTTGCATTTCAACATACACTCTTTCCCCATCTAAAAACAGATTAAAGCTGCAATTAAAACAGTCAATAAGGTATGAGTAAAATATTTTGAATGAAGACCCGAAGTATTAGTTTAAATAGGGACTAGCTAAATTTCACAGCAACAAGCATGTCCTACAAAATGAAATTCACTGCAGCACAGCTGAAAAGATGCAAAGACTGTTCACGGTGGGAAACAGAAACTTAATATTTTTAATAGTGCTCTTTACTTAAGCTAATGATAAACTGCTTATATGCTGTTGCATCAATCACATTCCCAGAAACTATGGAGATGCTAAATCAGTCTTTTTACCACCTGTAATCTTATACTGAATCTATTTTAACACCCAACAAAACAAACAACAAAAAAACCCCAAATAAATCCCAGAAACAAACAAACACAATACAAAGAACAGATCAGCCTTGTCAGTTCCATCCTTTTCCCCCCCCCAGACCCCTGTTACAATTTCTACATTTATAATGAACCAGTGTCCCAGCAAGACAAATCATCTGCCCACAGTCAATCCCTGACAGAATCTATGCTTATGTACATTTATGAAAGCATCCTTTAGTCGTTTTCCTACTCACCTGGTGAAATTTTATTTTTGCTAGGCCAGAACAGATTACAGACAGGGACTTGTAGTGCCAGCTTTGCTGAAGTTACTTCACACAGTGAAGAACCTTTTACCTAAACTGGAGTGCCCAATGGCAGAGCAGCCCAGATGGAGGAAAAGCAAAGTGTTCCAAAATAGCTACTGTTGAAATTATTTCAGACTACAGGAGAGCAGAGAGCCTGAAAAGACTGATTCTGATGCTTTTTTGCCATTGTTACCTTTTGATCTTGTGAAGTAAAGACTCGCTTACTTCACTTGTCTCATTTAAGTGAACTTTAGAACTACAAGCAAGCTGATGTATGGGCAAATAGTAACATTTGGAAGCACAAGTAGAATCTTCTGTTATATTTTTTTTATATCATTTGAGAAAGTCCATCTACCAGGATTTACTCTCCCAATGGAAAGAACTCTGAGACCAAGATTTTTAAACTATTAGCTCCAGTAAAAAAAGTTTTATCTCAGTTCCTCAGCATGTGTTATCTAAGCATTCAAACGAAAGGCATTCTTCACTTCCTACAGGGAGGGAATAAAATTTACCCAGAAAAAAACCCAACAGAAACAGTCTTCATTATACTCCAAATGCAGGCAGCAATTCTATCCTCCAACACAAGTCTTAGATAGTAGTGCTACAGATGTGCATACAAGAAACATCACCATACAACAGCAAGAAGCAGGAAGAGGAAGCAAGGTGAATGTTACCACTTAACTAAAGCATCCAGTGGGATGCATCACATGTGAGAAGGGTCATGTCATGTAGCCTACATGAGCACAGTACAGAAAGACCAAGACAATTGTAATTTATTCCCCCATGCTTGTGAAATGTGTTTGCAAGCCTTCAAAATCACCTTCCTTAAAAATTTAAAATCTTTCCACGCTTTGTCCAAAGCATTTTTTTTTTAAAAAAAAACCTCACACATACACAAAACCCCTCCCTAAAAATAAAAATAGAGTGAAAAAATAAATTAAGAACTTCCTGTCCTTACAAGAAAAGGAACTACTATATTAACAAAACTCAAACTGATGTTCCATCAATCATCTGCCTTATCTGTCTTCTGGATTGTATACTTTTGGGTGTGAGTACTAAAGCATCCCAAGAACACACTTTTGAAAAGTTTGAAACTTTACAGCATGGTTTTTACAAGGACAAATACCTTTAAGAAAAATTCTTCTCAAGCAATATTTGAATTAAGAGTTAGGATCTCAAGGCCAAGCTCTGAACTCTTCAGAGGTGTAAGCAAGCCATATGAAAATGTAAGGAAATGGGAGACCTGGTACTTCCTAACACTTTCCCTATGTCCACAAAAGCAAATTTGATGGGGGGGGCAAGACCCCTGGAATTAATTTTTGGGAAACAACCTTCTCTGCAGCAGCTGTCCAAGAAGTCCAACACAAATGAGAAACAATGCAAATGCACTGAAATATTGCAAATGAGAAACAGTGCAAATGTAATGCTGTTCCTGGGAATCCCATAGACCATCACACAGAAACTTGGATAGAGAAAGGCTTCAGTTTAAGGGGAGTCTGGCACAAAGTACAAGAAACTACCAATCAAAGAAAGAAGAAAATGCCAACACCAAAACCTGTGTTCTTCCTACCAAGGAAAAGGAGTAAGAATGCTCACCATGGCAAATCCACAGTTCCACATCCACTCCTCCAACACAGCTGCTTTAACTTGCAGCAGCTCCAGTACAGATGGCTCCAACACAGGAGAATGCCTGAAGAGCAAATGAAGGCAGACCTGCTGCCCTGCTCTCAATCTGATATGTCCATCCAACATGAGAGGTGTCAGAGGAACAGAGAAGAAGACAGTTCTGAACTTCAAAGTCTTTTCCCTAAAAATTAAACTGGCCCCTGACTTTTTGTAATGTATTCACACACTCAGCTTGGAAGAAAACAACAAAAAACCCAAGCCAATGTCAACAATCTAGAACATGAAGTTTATCTTTCAACATGTTTTATCTGTGGTAACAAAGCAAGAAGGTTTAAGTTTATGGATTCACTTTTTCCTCAAATGCCTATTTCCTGACAGGTATTTACATATTTGTGTGCTTGCACAAAGAATCAAGCTCCAATTCTAATCAGTACCTGACCTTTTATTTTAGAGTCCATATGTGAGTGAAAATTATTTTTTCTACAGTGCAATGCACAAAAAAATAGAACAGACCACTACAATAGAAGCTTTATAATGAATTCGACAGAAAACACTTCATACATCTAAAAAAGAAGAAAATAAAAATCAGGATACCATCAGTAACC